GCTGAGTAATAGTAACTCTAGAGACCCGTGGATTCGATATTTATCACTTGAGCCCCTATACTGCAGTCCCTTTCATTGGTTACACTTGGCCATTGTTAGGTGTTGTGTCGTAGCGAGTCAAGTTTTTGGCGCCGTTGCCGGGGACTTTCTAGAGTATTAGGAAAGGCAGAAGTTTGTTACTTTAGCGTTTTTCTTTTCTTTTCTTTTCCACCCTTGCTTTTCACTTGGGTGTTTTTGTTTTTGTTGGTGCAGATCTGAATCATGGATCCTCATGGCTTCTCCAACAATTGGGGGTATCCACCACCACCCGAGTGGTATTACCCCGAGACTTCCTGGAGCAATCAAGGATGAGAAGACTATGGATTCGGGTTCCAGTACCAACCCCCTTACTACGGAGAACAACCGGACCCCTGGGCATATCAAGAAAAACCTCATTATCAAGAATAATTTCTCCCACAACCAGAAGGGTCATCGGCGCTGGAGTTACCCATGGCGGCCTTCACGGGCCATTCTGCAGAGCCATGCTACACTCCACAGCCAGATCCAAACTATGAATTGAGGCTTCTTATGGAGCAGTTTGCTCGAGATTGTGAGAGAACATGCTCCAGGATGGATCATTGTGTTCAGGTCTATCGTGAGACAGAGGAGATCCTCCTGAGCCTTAAGAAGAGCGTCGATGATCTTGAGCGATCTTGGGCACAACCTGATCCAGATCATCCTTCTGCTACCATACTAGAAGAGGAGGAGGAATAAGAAGGCTACAAGGACATTGTGGAGCACACTAAAGATGTCACGAAGAGCTCCCGTGATGATCATGATCAGGAATGTCCTGTCATAGCCGACCACACCTTCCCACATCCCAAACTGAGCTTTGAAGAGGCGGGCATGAGTGAGGAGATGCAAGAAAATCTCATGAAAGAAATTGCTTGGCAGCTTGCTCTCCAATCCGTGCTAGAAGAAGAAGAGCAAGAAAGGGTGCAGAAAGAAGTCGTGGAGGATGATGAAAGTGAAGCAGGAGAAGTTCTTGATAATTTCCCAGGGGTGATACCACATGAAGAAGAAAGGGAGGTTGAAGAAGCAATTGTCGTCCAGGCTGAGGACGAAGTTGAGGTGGAAGAGGCTTGCACCGGCTATGAGTTACTTGTGATATCTCCACCGAATTTCGAGGAGCTGCTTGGCAAGGACCCATTTGCAGTGTCTCTTTGCCATACCAAGGTCACGTCGACATCGGTCCCTCTTGGTGGACGCGATGGTGGCCAATCGATGCTGTCATATCTGGTTTGGGGCAATAAGACGAGAGAAGAGAAGAAGAGGTCTCGAGGGTGGAGACTTCATCCGCATCAAGTGCACGAGCTTCCATCACCTGTCATACCACATGCTCGTGACTTGAGACTCCACCTCATTGACGAGAACCTCAACTTCAAGGAGATTTTGGGGTGGATTGAAACTTAGGAGCCATCGTCTGGCTCACGACGTGAAAGAAGCGCTTGTTGGGAGGCAACCTAACCAGTCGGTTTGCACTTCTTTCTATTTTTCTCCTCGGTTGAGTCAATTTTGTTATTTGATTTTAGAGTCAATAACTCAACCTTTGTGAGATTTTGTGTGGTGTTTGTGGTCTGACCACTCTCTCCTCCTGGAATACACCGCCTGCCCCGTCCACCATCATTCACCCTGGATCTGGTAACTTCGTTCTACCCTTCTTATCTTTCCTCCATTGAGGACAATGTCGTGCTTAAGTGTGGGGGGATGTTCGATTATGTATGCGGGTGAATGTTTGGCTGTTTGTGTGCTTGGAGCCTAGTCCACTGTCCAAATTTTTAAATTTGAGGGCTCCAAGTACGTATTTCCTTGCAAATTGCCTACTCAGTATGCTTTGAATTGACAGTCTCTATAGTAATGTGCAACCTAGGGAGGTAGTGTAGCACTATGGAGGATGTTGAAGTATAAGATTTTTCCATCTAGCTCTCTGCTGTGCCAGTTGATTTTGTGAATTAGTGGAGCTAAGACCGTTGAATTCATGTGGTAATGGTGACTATGTTTGGATTGTGTTATGGACTCGTGTATGGAACAGGGTGCTCATGTGAAAAATGAAAAGCAGTTGGTCCTCCATGTCAAAATCATAAAATCTTAAACATGGGGTAAGCCCAACGTGTGCGGCACTGTTCATTGCACCAAATCGGGTTTTGGAAGAGATTTTAGTGATCCTTAGTGGGGTACTCCTACAAGGTGAAGCTAAGCTGTCTCTAGTACAAGTAAAACTTCCACCCGTTGAACGGTTTGCCTACTTGAGGATGTGTTTTTAAGGGCACGGATAGAGCTTCCGACCCCCTTAATTTCATTGACCCTCCACACGAGTTGAGGAAAAGGAGTTAAAAGAAGTAATCTGGCGAGCGCCAGGTGTACAAAAATTGCTCTTGCTCGACTAATAAGGGTCGACCGTGCAAAAGACTGCAGTTGGAACCCCCGCCAAGTGAATGAAATAAGAAAAAAAATAAAGTAAAATGAAAGCGAAAAAGGGGTTCCAACGGTGAAATGAAGTGAAAGAGCACCCCGGTACAACAAGTCCTTGGTTGTGAATGGTGTGAGTCCCTTTATCCATGAACTGGCTGTCTTACTTCTACTTCTTCCCATGATCCTGGCTTGAGTCTAGTACTCGCATTGAGAGAGATAGGGAACGTCTTAGAAGACCAGTTGACCTCGTAAGCTGCTATATGATCTAGGAAATCCTCTACCGACGATCGGGGTTGTATGTTGCTATAGAGGTCTGGAGAGCTGCATTGGTTTGAGTTAGGTTTGCTTGGGGACAAGCAAACGGTTAAGTGTGGGGGGATTTGATGACTCGATATTTGCACATGTTTTCCCCTTTGTTTCTTGATCGTTTAAGATTTAATTATCGTGTCTTTGGCCTATTTTACGCTAGGTTGTGTTCCTTTGTCACATTTTAGGTCCTAGCACATAAAGTGAAGCATAGGCGCAAGTTTCAAGTCAATCAGAGATCAATTGGCGATTAGGGAGAAGAAACTCGGGCATGACCTGAAGAAGAATGGATTTCTACCTCACTTTATGGACAAAGAATCATGCAAGCTTGTCATGAAAAGAAAGAGGACGAGACTACGAGCGTCTGGGATCAAACGGCGACTGATTCGGAGTCCGGACGAGGGAGAAACGAAGTATTGAATATAGGGGAACAGGTTCGGCAGTAAAAACACGGGCGCGCCTAAATTTGGACAGTGGACTAGGCTCCAAGCACACAAACAGCTCTCCAGACCTCTATAGCAACATACAACCCCGATCGTCGATAGAGGATTTCCTAGATCAGGCTGCATGGACTCCCGCTTAGCATCGTGTCTGATCGTGATCCTAGCTTCACAACACGATTCTGGGTAAGTCTTCAAAAGGCTATGGGCACTAAAGTGCATTTCTTTAAAGCATACCATCCCCAGACTGATGGACAGTTAGAGAGGACAATTCAAACACTAGAAGACCTGCTAAGAGCATGTGTATTTACAATGAAAGGGGCGTGGGACGAGCATTTGCCTCTAATGGAGTTCGCACACAACAACCAGTATCACAGTTCTATACATGCAGCTCCATATGATGTATTATATGGAAGGAAGTGCCGTACACCACTATACTGGGATGAAGAGGGGGTACGACAATTGGAGGGTCCAGAAATGGTACAAAGGGCAATCGAGAAGGTAGAAGAGATTCAGAGGAACTTGAAGGCGGCTTAAGACCGACAGAAGAGTAATGTTGAGAGGCCACGAATTCCTCGCCATCATGAAGTGGGTGACATGGTTTTCCTAAGGGTATCTCCTTGGAAAGGGGTGATGAGATTCGGTAAGAAGGGAAAGCTTAGTCTGAGGTATATCGATCCATACGAAGTGTTAGAGTGTGTGGGACATTAGCCTATCAACTAGCTTTACCTCCTAGCCTATCTAAGATTCACGATGTCTTCCATATAAGCATGTTGATGGTGTATCGGGCCAACCCTGAACATGTGATCACGCATGAAGACATCCAATTGGAAGACGATTTAACGTACGAGGAAACCTCAGTCAAGATTATGGATAGGCAAGAAAAGTTGAGAAGGAAAAAGATAATCATGGTGAAGGTGATATGGAGGAATCAAGGTAACGAGGCTGCAACTTGGGAGACAGAGAACAACATGATGGAAAAATATCCTGAGTTATTTACCAGATAGACTCTTGTAATAAATGAATTTATTGAGTAGACTTGGTATATTGCCAGTAATCAGAGCGAAAATTCAGAAATCCTATCGATGTTATTTCATATCAATTTCGAGGTCGAAATTTTCTTAAGGGGGAGGGAAATTTTATATCCCAATAAAATCAATTCTAATCGAATATGATTTACTTCAGTACAAGTGGTGGTCTCTCTATCCTGTAGTTCCAATCACTATAACAAAAAAGCTATTTCGTGACCATGGAAAGTGGTCGCCATATCCAGAAACGTGGTCACCAAAGTATTTTGCGACCATATTTAATCGTCGCCAACCTGGTCGTATATACGTTGTCGGTAAAAGCTAATGCGACCACTTTCTCAAAATGGTCGCCGTAAATAAATTTTTTACGACCATTATATCTGGTCGTGGAAAACTTGAGTTTGCACGACCATTTCATATTGGTCTCCTAAAAGATTTACAGCGACCATTTTCATGGTCGCCAATTGTTACCTATTCCGCGACAGATGCATTTTGGTCGCCAACTCTTATTTATTGCGACCAGGACTTTGTCGCTAAATGTCTAACTAAGACGACCAGATGGAGTGGTCGCGATTCCTCTAATTTCCAACCATTCAATTTGATCATCAACAAATACAAAGTGTTGGTGGCATACAAACTTTTTCGCGACCATTTTATTCAACGCAAATGGTGACTTTGTGAGATTGCTTTGAACCCCACAAAATGGGAAAAACCCTATTTGTATATAACATAACCTGCCACAATAGTGCAACCATATATTAATATAGATAATGACAATGTATTTCATACTTCATTGTTCAATTTTTGGCAAGGTACTTTAACACAATTAACTAGTCATTGCCTACAAATTATCATCTAACTATACAATTAGCCTTTCCCAAAATGTATATCCACTTGGCTTCTTGCAGCACTCCCCAAAAATGATGCGCACCTATAGCTTCTTTTAGCACTTCCCAGAATGTTATATCCACCTAGAGTGAAGCACATCCCAAAATTCACCCAACCTAAAACTTGCCATCACAAGAACAATTGCATGAAAATCAACCTGCAATAAACACATCATCTCTATAAGTAATAGCATACAACCACATAATATAAACTCACATGGAAATGTAACACAATTTCCCATGCTAGAGACTTCACCTCAAATGTCAAGAATGTATATCAATATTACAAACAATAGTGCAAACAGCATCATGACCGTTCCCCACTGATACAAAAGCCAAAAGTAGTTTGTCCTCTCCTTCTCATGCTTCTCAATAGTAGATATCACAATAAATGACATACAACAACCAGCCACTAAAGAGATAGCAATACCCTTCTACACCAACCACGAAAAAGAAAGTTTGTTCTCTCCTTCTCGTGCATCTCAGCAGTGCATCCACACAATAAATTAAAAACAGCAACCAGCCAATAAAAGCAACAATAGCCTGCGATCCTAAGCCAACCATGACCAGTAGCAATAAGGGAAGAATAAACAACCCAACAAAGAGGCAATGACATGAGAATAAGGACAAAGGTTCTTCATAAGACCCCAACACATAATGTATAATGAATGGAATGAAGATTTCTTACCAGTCCCTAGGTTGATATTGATACCGATACTCCGAAGAAGTTGCATAATGCTTGCCACATCTGCTTGTGTCTTTGCTGTCGTTGCTTGATTTTCAAGAAGTTGTTCTTTCAGATCCTTGTTTTCTTCAATCAATGGTGTAGTTACTACTTCATTTTGATGAAGTTTATCTTTCAACTCTTTGTTTTCATCCAATAATTGGGTGTTGAGTACTCGTAGTTTGATAGGGTCAGCATGAGCACGTTCTTTTCCTTTTGCAGGCAGCCGTGGCGGACCATACCCAAGTCCTTTACGATAACCAGGATCACTACCTAGAATCTCATGGAAGGATTCATCTTCAGTTATTGGATGGTCACTGTCCTTGCTTGCAGCCACCTTCTCCACCATTTTTGCCTAAAAACAAAAAAGACATCACTTGTTGGTCAACAATAATTGAAAAGAATCAAAACAGTAGCTTATTTTGGATATAAAAAAGTGGAAAAGAGGAATAGCTACTTATTTGGACAGTAGTGATAACATTAACTTTACTAATATTTACAAATAAAGCAAAAGATAACTCAAACTTGCCCATAACACAAATCGACAGCAGCAAAACATAATAAAGTAAGCCAACAAAGAAACATATTAATTGTTTATGAACTTACATGAGTTTCTTTTGTGTGTTGATTTACCCAATTCCCCTTCTTATTGATTCTTGTCAACTCGAACAATCCAATTTTGTTGTTGATACCACCGTCTTTCATAGTAATCTTTGTTGGTATAACATAATACCACATAAGACATACTTAGTAGGTCACGCAATTATGCACACTACAAAGCAAAGGATAGAAGCTACCTGCTGATGGTACAAGGGAGCAAAAGCACTTCTTCCTTTACAGTGAAAATTCTTCACATTAGCTCGATTGTTCTTGTTCTTCACGCAAAGTGCCTATGATGTAATAATGAACTTGTGTTTATATGCATGACATAGTCCATTTATCAAACAAGTCTAAGTATTAAAACTTGCTTTATTCTTAAACTCTAAACATACCTCAACTTCTGGGGTTCCCCAATAATCAAACAAATTGTTCCATGTATCATGGTCTAGATTATCTGGCTTGTGTCTCCTTGCCACTTCTGGATCAACAAACTTATCATGCTTCTCCTTGAATCTACATCTTTTATCAACAACAATCTTGCAAAAATGCTCCCAAATTATATCCTTGATAATCTCATCCTCGGTGTTGGCAATCTTTAATTTCAGCTAAATCAATATAAAGGGGTATTAGTGTACATTTTGTTTGTCGATTAGATCCAACAGTGTTATCAAAGAACATACCCCCAACTTCAATATTACTTCTTCAAGAATTCGATTCTTTTCACCCTTCTTACTAATAGGCCATACATATGGGGTAGCAATTATTCCCAATTGAGTTCCAAGGGCTGTATCCTAAGTTGGATCCAATGGACGACCCCAATCTAGATCAATCACCACTCTTAGCTTTTCTCCAGCTCTTTCATTTTGCTTGTGTAACCCAACCCCACGAGTGAGCCCTCGTGTTTTCCTTTTCTCCGTGGTTGGGGTGCCTTCTTCCATATGTTGTGAGGAATCTTCTTCCCTGGCTGGCTCAAATGCATCGGGTGTTGCATTTCTAGGTATCTCTGGCTGAGTGACAGTCGGTGGAAGTGCCATGTTTCCACTTGAGTTATACCCAGCCACATGAGCTACAGTGGCTAATGTAAACAACTTATTATTGGCAATTAAATACTTAAAGTAGAATAAACACTTAGGAACAAAAAGCTCATTATTACCTTCCCTCATATGCGGTGAAGGATGAGAACTTCCAATGGTCATTTCGTGCATATCATTAAAAGCACCTAACAATGATTGTCTTCTAAAGGTAGAACCACCAACGTTGAAGTTCAACGCGCTGCTTAAGCCTTTATGTTTTCCTAACCATGGTATTAGAAGAAAAGATGGAAAACAACTCATGGACAAAAATGGACAGCATGCATGAAAAAAGAAACTAAGAGTCTAAGACCACTTAAGTGACAAATGGACAACAGTCATAAACCAATTAAAGAAAAACCAAAACATATTGCAGAGAAAGCACAAAAATACACAGCAGCTATAGATTATATAATTTTATCATATATACTTGTAAGTTGTGATTTCTTTGACTTATTCTCAACTAAAGATGACAGCAACGTAAATCACAAGTGTTATCAAAGAAAGTGAAGCACCTTGTTGCGCAGTCCCAAAAGAAGCAGCCGCTACATTGTGTTGTATACTTGAAGACACCGATCTAGGTTTTTTTATGCCAACTTGTGGTGCTATGGTAGGTTGCAAGACAGAACTACGTTTCAGCATTGAAGATGATTCATTTGACGGATTTCCAAGTGTAGTTGCTGCCGAATTCTTTGTTTTAGGAAGACCTGGCACCATTGTTCCCACCTGAAACAAAAGACTAATTATTTTCAGAAAGGTGTATTCATAAAGGGAATAAGACGTGAGGATGGAGTGGAGCTTATTACACGACTGCAGAACCAGAAAAGTATATAGCATGTCACTAAGAAAATTCGTCTTCTTCGTCCTCTGTTCCACTTAAATGCAATGAAATTCTCTCTTCATCATCAGATATTGGCGATGTTGAACCTACACTACCCTCCTTATCACTCTCATGAGCATAATTTTTGTCTTGGTAATGCCCTTCTCTTGACTGTTTTCTTCTATTTCCAAGTACTAAAATTTCATCAATCACTTGAGGTACAACATCATCTCGATGCAATGCCATATCAATATCTTGGTGAATACCGTCCACATTAGATTCCACATTGGGTAACTCTTCATCTTGATATGCATCTTCGTCTCCCACTTCATCAACATTATTGTTAGAGTTCTCAAGTTCTCCAGAAAAAATATGTCGATGATTAAAATGAAGAGCAACTCGCCAATTTGGCCCCAACTTTGGATCATTCGTGTAAAAGACTTGTCTAGCTTGACTAGCAAACACAAACAGATCACTTGAGTACCAACAACGATCAACTCCAATACTAGTTATTGCACCGTCTTTCAAAATTATCGATTTTCGCTTATCCACGTCAAACCAATCACACTTGAAGAGGAACACATGTTTATCTCTTATGTAATCTAATCGGATAATATCCACCAAGACTCCATAGAAATCAATGACTTCTTCAATATGATACCCTTCCACTACAACTCCGCTATTTTGACTTTTCCGACGACTTTCTCTATCCTTGGTATGAAATCGAACACCATTGACAATGCAACCATAATATTTGGTAATAGAAGGTAGAGGACCAGCAGATAATGAGTGCAAGGCCAGTGTGTTTCTGGTTCGACTAGAAGATAATGTACTTATCATCTACAAATGACAATGAAAGACTAGTTAATTATGAAATCCATAACATGTGTTTCTTTTTGTAAAATTCAAATCAAATTAACTCACCCGTCTTTTGAACAATCTTGAAAATTCATGTTTGTGTATTTGTTGTTTCCTCACAGGATCATGTACATCAATTGAAGCCAAATGCTCCCTAGTTAAAATCACATTACGTATGAGAATGCTAAAACCCTAAAAATTATATTTGAATTCTATTTATTGCTAAGAACTTACTCAAGATATGGTTGAAACTCCTCACAATTGCTAAGTACATACCAATGAGCCATATTCAATTCTTCAGTTGATGATGAAACATAATCCCCAGTACAAAGAGGTCGCACTTTACTTGAGAATATAGATAGTTCATCATCTACTTCTACATCAAAGTTCCTCTCAGGGGCATTGAATTGCGTTTCAATTCCATTGAGATACATGGAACAAAACGTCAAACATTCATCAACAAGATATGCTTTCACTATGGACCCTTCTGGATGAGCTCTATTTCGAACAAACCCTTTCAGTGTGTTCAAGAATCTAAAACATAATAATTGAAACATTAGTATCTATGACATCTAAGTCAATAAAACTCATTTATATTTCATAGGCTAAGGTTTTCAATTACTTTCGATCGGATACATCCATCGATACTGTACGGGACCACCTAGTTTTATTTCATGGGGTAAGTGAATGGCTAGATGCACCATTACATAAAAAAAAAGCCGGAGGATAAATCATTTCTAGCTTGCACAGAATGGTGATGATATCTGAATTTAACTTATCCAAGGCTGCCATATTTATCGATTTGGGGCACAAGCGATGAAAGAAATCCCCTAGTTCAGCCACAACAGTCCGTACACGTTGGTCCTTGATTCCTCGAACACTAATAGGTAACAATCTTTGAAGCAGGATATGACAATCATGACTTTTCAACCCCAAAACCTTGCCATCTTTGGGAATGGCACAACTTGAGATATTTGAAGCATAACCATCTGGAAACTTAACGTCTTTCAAAAATTGACAGAAATCTGTCCTCTCTTCTTTCATCATAATGTAGCAAGCATGAGGCATATCATATTTCCCATCACTTCTTTTCACAACATACAATTCCTTCCTTATGCCCATATCTTCCAAGTCTTGCCTTGCCTTCACAGTATCTTTGGTTCTACTAGGGATATCCAACAAAGTCCCTATAACATTATCACAAATATTCTTTTCGATATGCATTACATCCAAATTATGCCTCAACTTACACCTTCTCCAATAAGGAAGAGTGAAAAAAATGCTCTTCTTCGCCCAGTTCAAATCCTCAGTTGAGCGCTTCCTCTTGTTGGCAATTTTAGGATGCTTTCCAGGAAGCCTCTCTGTGACCTGCCTTAGTTGTTCCACCACATCATCGCCTACCAAACACGGTGTAGGAAGTCGAATTTCACGTTTCCCATTGAAATTTTTATCTTTCCTCCACCTATATTGAATAGGTAAAAAACGACCTGCCTTAGTTGTTCCACCACATCATCGCCTACCAAACACGGTGTAGGAAGTCGAATTTCACGTTTCCCATTGAAATTTTTATCTTTCCTCCACCTATATTGAATAGGTAAAAAACGACGATGACCCAAATATCCAATTTTGCTCCTTAACTTTTGAGAAGATGTATCCTTGTTTCAAACAAGACATGCAAGACAACCCTTTGTGCTCCATCCAGATAAATTGCCATACGCTGGAAAATCATTAATTGTCCATAACATTGCAGCATGAAGTTGACAATTACTCTTTGAATGATTGTCAAATGTTTCTATTCCATCCAACCATAACTCCTTTAGCTCATCAATCAAAGGTTGCATGTAAATGTCTATATCCTTTCCAGGAGCTGTAGGGGCAGGAATTAAAAGAGTCAAGCCGCAAATGATGGTTATTCCATGTCAAAATCCTTCCATTCCTTTGAATCTGCAGGATGTCTCAACCACTCTCCATCATCGTTCCGTTTTTCTTTGTGCCACCTCATTTCACTTGCAGTTTTGCTTGACATAAACAGCCTACGAAGTCTAGGTTTCAAGGGAAAGTATCGGAGAAATTTCCAATGAACTTTTTCCCCTTTTCCATCATCAACTTTCCACCTAGATGTCTTGCATATTGGACACTCTTCTAGAAATTCATTTTCCTTCCAATATAAGACACAATCGTATGGGCATGCATGAATAGGAACATATCCAAATCCATGGCTGCGCAACGTACTCTTTGACTCATAATAGGAATTGGGTACAGAGTTACCTTCAAGGAAAACATCCTTTAGAAGGTTAAGTAGCATGTCAAATGACTTGTTACTCCATCTATTATACACTTTCAAGTGAAGTAACTTCACCACAAACGAGAACTTTGAATACTTAGCACAACTAGGATATAATTCTGAATTTGCTTTCTCTAACAATTTCAGGAATTCTTCATATCCGTTTCCAGTAAAGTCGTCTTCGGATGTTACTTCACTAGTGATAAAATTTTGATACTCATCTAATAAGTCAAGCACATGATCCTCTTCATCCACATGCCCATACAATGAATCATCAAAATAATCATCCCCCACACTCGTATTATCCAAGTGGGAGTGAGATTGAGATGACTTGCCATGGTATATCCATACGGTATAGCCAGAGTCCATCCCGTTAATCATTAAGTGTGCCAAGACTACACTTTGAGTTTGGGTTAAGCCATTCAAACATTTATTGCAGGGACAACGAATTGTATTATCACGACCCATCTGATCTTCAACAAAAAGCATGAAAGATCTTACTCCCTCAATATATTCTAAACTAAATCTGTTCTTCTTCATCCAAGATCTATCCATCCTATTAAAAACAAGTATTTCAACTTAAACATGATTAATGTTTGACCACGGAGAATTACCAACACATACCATGCAATATATTATTTTTATTATTACTATTAATAACAAGAAACAAACACAACTAAATAGTAAATGGAGTTTTAAGAGATAGAACCTTATATTAGACCTTCACTTCTCTGAAGCTTTCTTTCCCTTTCTCGAAGAAGTTTCACCCAAACTTTCCCTAAACAAAGAAATAAAAACTGCCTTAGTTTTGAGTTATCAACCATTAACATCTTCCGTAAACAATCTTGGGAAACCCATAATAATCAACAAAGTGACATCGCTACAAACAGACAAAATAGAAAGAAATAGGAAACTATGCAAACCAAATCTCCTATCTTCCATAATTTTCTTAAAACATTTATTCATTAAAATAATGAGGTTCTCTAGTATTATAACTAACTATAGCTAGCCCAATAATAACCCCACGATGTCTTTATTTCTACGAATCCATTTTTTCACACAAAAAGAAAATTAACTTAGTAAAATACTAAAATAAATGTCGACAAAATCTAAATGATGCATAACACAATACAAGAATTCTATTAATTATATATATATAACATTATACATGTATTGATCACAATGCATTAATGAATCAATTTAACTAGAAAAAGAACAATCTTTTTGTAAACACCTTTCCCATCTCCCCTTCATTCGCTTCCTCTGTTTCGACCCTATTCTCAAAATTGCAGACTCTCAAGTTTCTAGTCAATAGTCAGTCGCTTGTGAATCTACCACTCTTTCCATATAAGTTAAACTCAAATGTTTTAATATAATTTACTCTTGTATGATGGAAATTTTAGCCGCAAAATCCTGTAAGGAGCTACGTACCCGATCAATGAAAGTACTGTGTATGGACCGGCAATAGGAATCAATTTGGACAAAGACTTCGTGGGAAATCGAAACTTATGGGCTCAGCTTTACAATAGCAACAACGGACTTCAACTTGGACAACAACTTCTCGATAGAACGCGACTTCAAGGGTGGAAGGCGTGTTTGTTTGGTGAATCTTAGAGGAGAATTGTTGGCCGACTTGCTTGACATCGACGAGAAGAGGTTGGAGAGGAGCAAAACAGGAAGAAGGATCTGCTGAGAAGATCCCAGAAAATCCCCCTTTCAAACCCTAGAAATCGCCAGAAGAAAAGGTTTGAAATTCGGAGAAATGGCTTCGATTGAATCACTGAAAGAGGTATTAAAGAGAAGAAACATGAATAGAGAATCCATGGTTCTGGACGATTAAGCAAACCGAAATGCACATATCAAAAAATAGTGAAAGATCAAACCTTTGAGTTCTATGCCAAGTTGAATGCCTGGGGATTATAGTGATCGATGAGCACAGGGGAGATGGTCGATGAAATTAGACAAACTGAACCGGCGAGATGGGAAAAATGAATTCGACCAGGGTTGGGAAAATGGGGAGTCGGGGAGAAGGTTGTGCCATTTTTTTTTTTTTTTTGCTAATTCTGATAAGGAGTGAAGGTTAGAATGAATTGTTTGCAGTCCCGAGTCCCAAGCTATAGCAAACCTAGTTCCAGCTCCAAGACGTCGCCGGATTGGGGAGATAAATGGTCGCTGAACCATACGCCCTTTTCCATTTTCTTGATTCATTTTTCTAATTGTATTTATTTAGTGTTATGCGATCAGGGCAAATGGTCGCTGGAATTTTATGAATTTGCGTCTAATTATTACGGTCGCCGAAAACAAAACAATGGCGCCAAAACATTTTGATCTTACCGCCTTCCTAAAGGAGGCCCGCCAAATCTTTTCTTTCTAATATTTGACGATTCGCGACCTTGGTAAAATTATGGTCGCGGATAATGATATCATCAGCGGCCACGTTTTTAAATGGTCGCAAAGAATGGTAACAAAATAACCTTTTTCTTGTAGTGAATTTCTGGGACGAAATTTTTATAAGCAGGGAGGAAATGTAACACCCCATTTATTGATTCCATGACTAGTAATAAATGTACGAGTTGAGTTGTCGATTAAGTACAAGAAGCTGGAATCATAACCAACTAAGTGTAAGGCTAGAAATTAATAAATCGAACCAACCCAAACTAAACAACCCCTCGCCCCAATCCTTTCCCGCTGCTTTAGAAGACACCATTAAAGTTCCACCATATGAGTGAATAGCTTTAAACATTTGGCATTATGGTGGTTGGGGAGGGATGTAAGGTCACGAGAATAATAAATACTAGTCACGGGCTCGGTCGGTTGGCCGGATTCCGTTGGTAGTCAGGTAAATACCGATTGTAATTTGTATCAGAGTTACGCTTTAGTATAAGAAAATCTTAATTAATAATATATTCTAAACATTCGAATCGAATGGTAAAATAAGAAAATCCAAATTATTAAAATACTTAAACAATTCAAAAGATCAACATAATAATATTTTCTGATGTTTTAGTTGGCTAATCTACTATATCTTATATAAAAATGAAAGAAAATCCCCATGAAAAGGAAATCAACTCCTAAAGACAATTTAAATTACCCTTCTAATTACTTCTCAGCATCTAAGATCACTACACGTTTTCTCTTTGACTTGGTTGCATTTCTTTCGCCATGAACATCATCGTCTCCACCAATCATATGTCTTCATCTCCAATAATGACACATTTATATGCATGATAATTTGAATAATATCTTCATTTTTATGCATTTTATTGATCAATAAAATTAAATAATAAAATATTTACAAAAAAAAATTATCATCTTTTTTCACCAAATCCATTATCTTCACCGTTAGCAGTGTCATTCTGGTTTATGTAATCGTAAGTGATTAATATATATTGGAGATATAATTGATGTCGGATACAATTGATTGCACGTTAGTGGAAAAGGAAGCAAAGTTCCACACTGAATACCAATATTAAAAATTACAAAGTTGCTATATTTCCAAGCATGCAGTGAAAGAAATAAAAGGGTGTTCTCCACCTGTTAAACTGTAGTCATCCAAGCCAATTATGTTAATCAAAAACTCGTCTCCCTTCGTTCGACAGTTGCAAAATATAAATTATAATAAAGTATATAGCACAGTATGACATGTGTTTGGTATAAAAATTCATATCCAATAGAGAATAACAGAATAACTCAAATTTGTATTATTATTGATCTCCATTTTGATGCAAGTAGAATTTACCTCAATTAATTTAGGAAGATTGTCTATGTTATGCTCCTCCTCATCTTTTCCTATCCTGATAAGTGTTTAGTCACTTGTTGGATTCACGATGTTGTAATATGTGAACTTGATGCTGACATCAAACTCATTTCCTCAATTTGTAGAAGTGAGCAAGTGGTGCTCTCGAACTCTCTCATTGCCTTGGAATAGCCTTCTAGCCATCATTCCAAAAAATGGAGCTCCCAGGCCACTCCAGAAGCATAATGTTTCAAAATGTAAATATATAGGGAAGCCCATGCCAATCAAGCAATTAACTCATTTTACGTTCCCATGGAAACCAAAATGTGAGTAGAAGACTAAGTAGCCTCCCACAGTCTCATGGAATCTATTTATATTAACAATATTTAATATGTAACATGTACTTAATCTTTCCTCGTGTATTAGCGCCATGCATTGCTAATTATTTAGAAAAAAATGTTGTTTATTGTTGGATTGGTAATATGTTTATGAATTCAACAAAAAAAGTTAACTATGTCATAGAAAAGTAAACATTCAACCATTTTACATGTATATTTATCAGCGAATTATATAAAACCAAAATTTCCACTAATAATGGTTGCATTACCTACTTGTTGTCGTGTTTAATAAGAGAGCATTCTAAATCAATTCCGCTAACTTGCTTGCTTGTTCAATATGACCTGTTGATTTTGAGTCACAATCAATTGAAATGTTAAATCGAGAATGAGCAGTTCTACCTCCAACCATTAGCAAAGCTGTCAAATCGGAAGAAGCAATACACAATACTATTTTCTTTTCTGCCTGTAGTTTCAAACAAATAACATTCCAAAAAAATATCTTACCTATACCTCCAAATTCATCAACAAAGAAGTAGTTCCCATTTTCTTCATTGTCATCTTGAACAATTTTATGGAATGCCTTCCTCTGCTCTGAATTTAATTTTAGATACAATATATTGAATTTCTTCGTTAAATCATTTGTATTATAATTGAAATCCCCATCGATCATTCAATTTTAAGAATTTAATCTCAAAGCTACAAATGGAATAGGCAAACCTAGAAAATTAGCTAGAGACTTCCAATATTTTTGTAATAATTTTCTCTCCGCCAAGCGTATATCTTTAATCTCATTAGTAGAAAGATTCATATTGTGAAAATTTAACTCCCTTCTACGATTGAACAGGATATCATCGCTCAATAAATACTTTTAATAGCTTTTTAAATATTTTCGTTCTCCTTTGTCACTACTTTGTTCTCCCCAGACAAATGACATGACATACGCAACATAAAAGGTGAATTTCAGCTAACACCAAACTTAAAAGTGTCTGGCAGGCATTACCTGATATGGTGTAAGTCATGTAACGACAGTCAAGAAATTATTTAATTTCATCAATACAAATGAATGGTGCTGAAGACTTTTCTAGGTTAAAATTAATCCTTTTCTCCCTAAATACACGTGGCATTAGAACAAATTAAATTGTAAGATGTGCATAATTATGATAATTTAAATTTTGTTGTACTTGCATTCATTTTGTAATGATTCGATTGTTAGTATACTTGGTTTGTCCCAGTTTAACAAAATATGTAAAATATGAACAACCATTAATATCAAATTAATTTAATCATATATAAAAACATATTTGAAGGCAATTTACTAACAATTCACATTCATATTTGAATAAAATATGATTTTTAAATATAATTAAAAATACTATTATTTAAATACAATAATTAACATAAATACCTAAATATGTTTACTCGAATTCAAGAAATAACATCAAGATTTTTAAGTTATGTTCAAGCCCGTTCCATGATCGACACCGGTTGAATCATGTATAATTGATCGGCATTTCGCCGACATGACAATCATATGTAATTATTGCCTTATATTCAGTGATATAGTCATAAATTATTGCTAGCTATTGAGAAAAGCATTAGTATGAACTGTATGATTAGCTCAAGGGATGTTTCAAACCGTTATTTCATCACGTACAATTCAGGGCAATTGATTCTAATAAGCTATTATTGACATATATGTGTATTTTTCTCTTCGACTCTCTTATTCTGTTGGGAGAAACGAGGCTACTTATTTTATTTCATCAAAAGTAAAAAATTACACGGTTCTTAATCCAATATATACAGGTTGTAAATAGGGAAATAACAGAACAGTACTTAAACATAAACAAACATTACAATAAGGTCCTTAAACTAAGTCTACTTTTACAATATAGTCCAACACCCCCCCTCAAGCTGGAGCATGAATATCCAGAGTGCCCAGCTTGGACTTCAAAACAGAAAACACTGCAGTAGGCAAAGACTTTGTAAAGAGATCAGCAACTTGGTTAGTAGTTGAAATATGCAGTACTTTAATTAAACCAGAAGCTATCTTGTCACGAGTTAGATGGCAATCTAACTCTATATGTTTAGTACGCTCATGTGCAACTGGATTTTCAGCGATACGTATAGCAGACTGACTATCAGAGTACAAAATACTGGGAACAAAAAAAGAAACGCCCAAAGCAGCAAACAAATAGTGTAACCATTGAATTTCACAAGTTAGATCTGCCATAGCCCTATACTCAGCCTCAGTAGAGGACCGAGATATGGTTTTCTGTTTCTTAGAACGCCAAGCAATCAACGAATTACCCAAAAACACACAGAAACCTGTTGTGGAGCGGCGAGAATCAGGACATCCAGCCCAATCACTGTCTGAAAAAGCCTTTAGAGTCAGTTCTGAATTGCTAGGAAAGAATAAACCAGGACCTGGATTTCCTTTTAGATAATGAAGAACACGAAAAGCAGCTTGTAAATGAACATCAGTAGGTGCACTCATGAATTGAGTCAACTGATGTACAGCAAAAGCAATATCTGGACGTGTGTTACACAAGTATAATAGACGTCCTACCAAACGACGATAAACTGAAGCATCATCAAGTAAAGTGCCAGTCTTACTAGACAACCTAATTCCAGGATTACAAGGTGTGCTAACAGGTTTAGCAGCAAGTAATCCAGAATCAGACAAAAGATCCAAAACATACTTTCTTTGGCATAGAGAAATACCAGTGGACTTACGTGCAATTTCCAGACCAAGAAAGTAATTAACATGTCCTAAATCTTTGATCTTGAATGCATCATCTAAACCTTTCTTAAGGTTTTCTATTTCAGACAAGTAATCACCAGCCAGAATTATATCATCTACATACACAAGCAAGGCTAAAAACTTTCCATCCTTATGTTTGGTAAACAGTGAATAATCTGCTTTTGATTGTTGATAACCAGCATTTAAAAGAAATTCCGTGAGCTTGTGATTCCACTGCCTACTAGCCTGTTTTAGACCATAGAGTGATTTATTCAATTTGCACACAACATCACCAGAATTAGGAGGAAGATTTAGGCCTAGGGGAACTTTCATATACACATCTTCATCTAGTTCTCCATGCAAAAAAGCATTATTTACATCTAATTGATGTAAATGCCATCCTTTAATTGAAGCTAAAGCAAGTAAAGCCCTAACAGTTGTTAATTTTGAAACTGGTGAAAAAGTATCTAAGTAATCTATACCTTCAGTTTGAGTATAACCTTTTGCAACTAATCGAGCCTTAAAACGCTCAATAGTTCCATCAGGGTGGAATTTTACCTTAAATACCCATTTATTTCCAATGGGTTTGACACCTGGGGGACGTAGAACAATGGTCCATGTTTTTGTTCTGATTAGAGCATCCAATTCAGTGTTGACAGCAGCATTCCAGCGTTCATCCTTTGCTGCCTCATGATAACTAGTAGGTTCTGAAATAGAACTTACTGCATTAACAAAACTAGAGTGACCATTAGCAAGGTTAGTGTCAGAAATAACAGATGATAATGGATAAGGAACAGACGAGCTAACTGCAGAATTACAAACATAATCTTGTAATCGAGCAGGACGCTGTCTATTCCTAACAGGTCTGCCTGAAGGTTCATTATCAAAAACAGGAGGGTATTCAGGAGGTGGAACTCCATCCTCCTCATCAGACATAAGAGAAGATGGGACATTGGAATGTTGGTCGGGGGCCATTGATGGCACTAAACCATCCACTGTGTTGGCATCATTAGATGTAACTACAGTAGATGGAAGGACTTGAATAACAGGAAAGGAAAATTCAGCTGATTCCAGGTTTTGACTCTTAGAGAAGAAAGGAAAAATAGACTCGTGAAACACAACATCTCGAGATTCAACCATAGTATGAGTGGCTAGGTTATACAGCTTGTAACCTTTAGTGGCAAAAGGAAACCCTAGGAAAACACATGGATCTGCTCGAGGTTCAAACTTGGGACGATTGTGAGACAAGGTGGAAGCATATGCTAAACAACCAAACACACGAAAACTACTGTAATCTGGAAGAGATTTATGAAGCAACTCATATGGTGACTTATTCCCTAAGACAGGACTAGGAACTCTGTTAATCAAAAAAGTGGCATGTAAAACAGCATGACCCCAAAACCTAGAATGAAGAGAAGACTGAAACAAGAGGGCACGAGCAACAGCAATAATATGCTGCTGCTTGCGCTCCACCCGACCATTTTGCTGAGAAGACTCGACACAAGTAGTCTGATGCACAATGCCTAAGGAATCAAAGAATGCATGCATCTTAAACTCTTGACCATTATCTGACCTAAGGGTTTTAATGCGAGCATTATACTGGTTTTGAATGTGAGCAACAAAATTCTGAATCAATGAACGAACCTCAGATTTCTTATGCATAAGGTACACCCATGTATTCCTAGAATAGTCATCTACTATAGTCAAAAAATAACGATGACCATCAATAGTAGGAACACTATAAGGACCCCAAATATCTGTATGCACAAGATCAAACATATGCTCAGCTTGAGATTCACTTACCATGAAGGGAAGACGTTTCTGTTTGGCCAGGGGGCAAACAGAACAATGTTTGGTACATTTAGAATCAATTCCACTTATTCTAGATGCCAATGTTTGTAAGCGAGACAAAGATACATGACCAAGGCGAAAGTGCCAAAGATCAAAATCATGAACAGTCTTATCAAACAATATAGAAAAAAACAGAAGAATCTGGACAGGTTGAAGATGTTGGTAGAGGCAGAGGAGCTGGAGTGTGTACTTTTGCTGAAAAACAGTAAAGTCCACCGCTCACTCTAGCTATACCAATCATCTTGCGGGAGGCCAGATCCTGTAACAAGCAATGATCATTAAAGAATGTCAAGGTACATGCTGAATCTTTGCTTAATTTGCTAACAGAAATCAAGTTAAACCCGAATTGAGGTATTAAAAGAACATTCTTAAGAGTTAACTGCTCATTTAACCTAACCGAGCCTACATGTGTAACAGGGACTCGAGAACCATTAGGTAGAGATACAAACACATCACACACAGCAACAGGTGACAACAAACAAGAAGGATCAGACACCACATGATCAGATGCACCACTGTCTAGAATCCACTTGCAAGAATTATCATGCATAGTATTGGCAAGAACAACCTTACCTCCATCCTGGCTCGAGGAAGCAGCTGAGGAAGCCAGGAATGACACACCTGTAGTGACAGAGTTCACAGTAGGAACTGGAAGAGAAAGAGTCTGAGGATGACTCTGAGCAAACAAAGCTCTATACTGCTGCTATGTCAAAACAACAGAATCGGAAGAAGTACTTCCGTTCTCACTAGAACCAGAACTGTTAGTGTCGATTGACTCACTAACTACAGCATTGACTCTAGCACGAGGCTTATAACCTGGTGGATAACCATGTTTCTTGTAACAACGCTCAACAGTATGCCCAGTCAAGCCACAAAACGTACAGACAGGGCGTTTTGACTGATTATTACCCTTGTGTAGACCAGACTGAACAGCACAAGCCATAGGATTGACAGATTTAGGGTTAGGGATCCTAATTTGACGCTCATGCTGGGCTACCATAGAGAAGACCTTGTTAATGGGAGGCAAAGGATCTAACAACAAAATCGAGCATCTAACAGACTCAAAATCCTCATTCAGACCTCTCAAGAACCTAATAACCTGATCTGCTCTCATGTACTCAGCACAAGAACATCGAGGAACACATGCACAGGAACGCACAGGACGATAAGTCGTCAACTCATCCCAAAGAACCCTAAACTTGGTGAAGAATGCACTTACAGACAAACCGCCTTGCTTCGGCCCGTAGATCTCATCCTGGAGATCAGCGATGCGAACCAGATCTGCGATGCTGAAGCGCTTCTGGAGATCACGCCAAACCTCGACCGCGGTGTTGAGCCAGAGAACACTCTGTGCAATCTCCGGCGAGAGCGACCAGAGAATCCAGCCAAGGACGAGTGTATCGCACATCTGCCAGGCCTGGAAGAGCGGATCACCAACCGGAGGCGTCGGGACGGAAGGATCGACGAAGGAAATCTTGTTCTTCGACAAAAGACCAAAGCGCATGGACCGAGCCCAGGAGTGGTAGTTCGGCCCGGTGAGAACGACCGAGACAAGCTGCGCTGTGGACGAGTCGCCGGAACTGATGAAATATGGATGATTCGGTGCAAGCGTCGCCGAGATCGGCAACGGAGGTTGGAAGGACGAGACGGAAGAAGTCGCCATGGAAGAAAACGCGGAAGCAAGAAGAGAGAACGAAACGTCAAGAATTCTCTAGAAAGTGATTTGCTCTGATACCATGTTGGGAGAAACGAGGCTACTTATTTTATTTCATCAAAAGTAAAAAATTACACTGTTCTTAATCCAATATATATAGGTTGTAAATAGGGAAATAACAGAACAGTACTTAAACATAAACGAACATTACAATAAGGTCCTTAAACTAAGTCTACTTTTACAATATAGTCCAACATATTCAATAATATTTCCGCCAATAAAGATAGAGAGGAATTAGAGAGAGGGCGGCGCTGTTAGGAGTTGTAATTGATTTTGAGGGAGTAGAAAATTATAATCATCAGAGAATTTTTTTTTTTTGAAAGGAAGATAATCATCAGAGAATCAAGGGTAGATGTATCTCATATTTCTCCGCTTGCTTGGAATTGGAAAGAAGAGGGCATAGAGGCCCAGCCAAATAAAATGAAAAGACAACATGGTCCTTCCGTGAGCTGCGCAGAAGCCACGAAAAAGGAGTTTGAATGGGTGCCTAAGGAGAATCTCCTAATAATTATTGTTTGATTTGATGATTTGAAGAGGAGGCCTTATCCACCGGCTTTGCCATTAAATGGCCAAATGGACGCCCGAACAAGTAAAAAACAACAGCTGGGCATGGAAAGAGGTTGCTTGACTCCAGCTCCACGTTTTATGGTCGTCGCCACTGTCGGTAGGCACAAGTGAGCTAGGCGATGCTGGGAAACATCAAAGCAAAGCAAGGAGGTAAGGGTCGTATGTTTCAGTTCGTCAAGGATGATGAGGGTAGTCCATTTCCTGAAATCTATATCTATATGTTTACAGGGGGAGCTCGGCAAACTCGTGTGGTGGCTGTGATCGAGTGGGAAGGAGGATACCGGTTACGGATGATTGACATCCGTGACGAGATCTAGCGGCAACGAAGGATGACTAAAATGAGATTTGATTGAGGTAATTAAGTACAACCTTTTGCTGGGATTATAGATGGATTTACGTTACTGGTTTCAGTCATGGTGGTATGATTTGCTGTGGGTAGGAGATTTAATGTTGAAAAATGCTCGGTTGGGTAGCCTCGTATGGTTGTTGGGTGTTGGCATATGGAAATATGGAATAATGGTCTCTCCTCAAGTAGTGCTAACCAGGACGTAGAATTATCAATTACATTAAGGAATGATCAAGTACTTAACTAAGATTTAGCATTTCTTCTGGACAATCATGCTGGAAAGATGGATCTATGGTAGTTGTGTATTTAACATTGACGTAGCCTTGTCACCATGTTCACGTGACATAAGCAATGGATCTCATGGTGGATCCATAAATTAGGACATGGCTTTTAGTAGCAAAATATAAGAGATGGGAGAGGTTAGTTAGTGTGGTAATTATAATAATGAAGAAATTACCCGTAAGCAAAATGGAAGGCAAGAATTGGGATTAATGAACCACGTATGGGAATTGTGAAGTGAGATGGAACTAGCCATGCAAACACACATTCACTAGGAATATTATGCGTGTGTTATATGATTACTTTTGGCTCTGAACGACATGAACTGGGTCATGAAGTGGGTTGGCTTTTGATGCTTTAAAGGTACAACATAAATAGTTGGGCGCTACTTGATTTGGATGTGGCAATTGCAAGAACTTACGAGGTTGATAAAGGCGAAGGGACTCACATAAGTTGGTGTTTAGATCAAGTCATTCGATTTGATTAAGAAGGTGAGGGGTTTAAGTGGGTAAATTCTACGCCTTACGAATTTTTAAGTATTTGACTTGCGAGATTTAAGTATGTGTGTTTATGTGAATTGTATGCCAGTGATTAATTTATGTCGTGATTGATAAAACATATTTTATTTGAGATATTATCTTAGATGCTCTATTTGAGTTATGATTGTGAAGTATATGATTATTTGAGGTTTCAATATTTACTTGAACCTTTTATATTTATGTTTATTTAATGAAGGTTGTTTGATCTTTAAGGATCAACATTTAAGAGGTATTTCACTCCTAATTAATTTAGGGTGAAATATTTAAAGGTAGTTCACTAACGTCAGTCCCCTGCCCCAGTGAAAGTTTAAAGGAAGTGTTACACCCCGCTCTTCCCAAAAGTCAAAATGACTATTATACCCGTGGGTCAAGTTCCACCGTATTATCGATGAGGATTAAAAATGTGAACTAATAGTTCAAACGATTCGTGTGACAATTACGGACGTCAATTAAGTTCCGGGCTAAACTCACCAGTATCCTTTGACTAATTAAACCACGCTTACCTAACCCCACTCGGTCTCACTCTAAAACCTAATAAAACCCTCGCAGCCTCAACCGAAACAACTAGCTCTCGGCACTTGGGAGTTTGGCCATCGTCCAAGGGGTGGAAGTTCCCACTATATGAGAGCTGCTCGCTTAAGCAAGCTCGTCTCCTTGTCATTGCTATCGCAACCCTGGCCCGTATGGAGGATGGGGTTAATCTCATTGTCAATTCTATTGCCTCGAGGTGGCAGGGGAGGAGTTGTTCTCCCACTACCACGAGAGTTGCTTGCTTAAGCAAGCTCGTCTAGTGATCATTGTTACGTCTGATGTGGACGATTTGAAGCCGGCGGAGGACGGATCGCGCGCCCTGTTTTTTCCTTCTTGCTACGAGAGCTGCTTGATTAAGCAAGCTCGTCATTTTCTTATTGCCATATCCGCCCTGACCTGTCTGTCCAATAATGACCAAAGCAAGATGGTCCATTAAATTCCACTTGCCGAGCAAGCTGCTCCATCTTATTCAACCAAGTACGAGTATAATAGGGTTGGAAGCGAGTATGGAAACTTTGGAGCAAAATCAAAGCCAATTCCGACGGAAGTAAGGTGAGTGTAAATGATCAACATTTAAGAGGTATTTCACTCCTAATTAAATTAGGGTGAAAGATTTAAAGGTAGTTCACTAACGCCAGTCCCCCGCCCAGTGAAAGTTCAAAGGAAGAGCAAATTTGCTCTTAAGGAACATATGGATGAATCACTTAGACATCACATGAAGTTTAAAGGAAGAGTATGCTATACTCTTAAGGTTTATGGGGTTGAATCGATTACTCCCATAAAAAGGTTTAAGGAAAGGCCTATGTTGGCCCTCATACGTATGAGGTGGGCAGCTGGACTAGTTAGTGAGGGGATCCCAGTGTCGGTCAATGGTTTAATATTTTTGAGAGTGGCGAGTAACAACAATTCCCACATTTTAAGAGTTAAGATTTTACAGGGTGGAAGTATAAACAACTTCCACGGATTTTTGAGGTGAAAACTTAAGGGAATACCCGTAAGTGCTTCAAGTTTAAGTAATGACGTAGACTGACCCCAACCCACTCACCAGGTTGTAGAGGAGGAGCTAGGGAGCATCCAGTGAGAGAGCAGGCTACCAGAGGAGGACCACGTGAGCACTTCTGAAGATGTCTGACCACGGATTGGAGTAAGCAGCATTTGTAATTTTTAGTTATTTGTTTTATGATTATGAGTAATGACTGGAGATTTAAAAGGATAAGACTTTTTGGATTGAGGTTTTCCCAAATGTTAGGGCTTCACTTTTAATTTATAAGATGTATTTTCATTATTGGTATTTTGAGCACATTATTATTTCTTTCTTTCAAAATTTTAAATATGCTCTCGAGCAAAACTGTTATTTCAAGGTTTTAAAGAATGGGATGTGATAATGGTCACTCAAAAAGAGCATGATGATTAGCTAATATTGGATTGATTTAGTCCTACTGATTATGACATACTTATGATCTTATTAAAGGAAAGGAGCAAGCGGGACATCGTCAAGAGGCAAGGGAATTGCGGGATGGGATTAAAAACCCATATTGGGTATGAAAAAAAGGAATATATTAATTACCTTTTTTGTATTAATTATATTGGGAATTAAAAACCCATTTTAAAAATATTTTTTTTTTTTGAAATTTAAATCCTATACATTAATATCTCTATCTATCTCTCTCTCTTCCTTTCTCAAGCGGCCACTCCGCATCAACGGACAAACTTTTCTCCGGCGAATTCTCTCCGCATCAACGGACAAATTGAATTTCAATTTGTAGAATTAGTGTAATATGATGATATAACATATGATAACAACTAATTAGTGGATTACCCTAAGCCATAGACCTCCAATTTTGAGTTCTATCCCTAAACCCCAAATTGTAAACCCTAACTCTAACCCTAAATCTCTAAACTCTAAATCCTTCAAATTAAAGTAAATCTTTAATGGCTTTCGTGCAAATTCATGTGCGTTATTGTTCATCACAACATAAGTGATGATTGACATCATTTTGACACAAAACGTATTTTTAAAATGACGGTTATAAAGCGAGTGCACTTAATGCACCCAAAAAAGTGAGTGCACTAAAGACGCCACTGTATATATACATATACGGTTTAGGCTAGCGTACGTCAGTCGTACATTGTATGGCCGTCGAGTTTTACTATTTAGAGCACAAATTAACCAAAGTTTGGGGCATGATACTATACCCTAACATCTAATGGGTGAACCCCAGTCCCTAATTCTCTAACCCAAGCTACAAAATTCATTTAATCTAAAAACTAATAACCGGCAGTTCTGATGTGAAATATATTAAAGTGCAAAAACCAAGTGTGAACGCAGGCATACAGCGTACGCCTGACGTACGCTAGCCTTTGCCATATATATATATATATATATATGTATGTATGTATGTATGTATGTATGTATGTATGTCTGTCTGTATGTCTGTGTGTCTTTTATAAGCACCCAAAGCATACCTAAGGAATTCGAGGATACTTCACTATTACGACGTCTCGTCATTAGGCCTCATCATTACCATGGTCTAAAGAAAACTTCCCACATGATGCTTCTCCAACTTTTGCATAGCTTCTGTTAAACGAGCTACACTCTGTTAGACGAGTGTAGCTCGTCTAACAGCTTCTTCTAGACCTTCCTGTCATCCTTCACTAGGGGAATAATGCCATCGATGCAGAAACAACCTGCAAAACTTCATGACACATAACAGCAAAAAAAAAAAACAACAAATGATCCCTAGTTTTATTAACCATCACACACAAATAACACTCCATCTATACTATCAAGTTCCATTTCTAAACCTTATCAATTCAAGAACATAATGATGTTGCACGTTGTAGAAGAATTCCCAAGCAAAGCAACTGATCGGTTGATACTGTCATTAAGGCTATTCCTGATATAACCAAAGAAATTGATCTAATCATCTGAAAAAAGAGAAAAGACCCTATTCGTGAAAATATAAAGTAGACATTATAATTCTTGAGGTCTATGGCCCCCTATAACTCAGAAGAAGCACGACTAATGAAAATCAAGCAATCAATCTAAAACAGTTCAGATGCTACCAATGAATAATGAACCAGCTTTACTATACCATCAATTGCGTAAGCTCATCTAGAAGGCACAATCTCGTTGGTGAAATTAACAAACAAATGAACAACCCCATAAGGATTGAGCGTGAAGAATTTGTACCGGCACGCGATAGATGAATGTGGGGGGAGTTGACGTCTACAACGATGATTCCAAGTAAGCTGCAATTCATTAAAGAACAATAGACCTATAAAATTATAAAGACGAAACATAAATTGATCACATAGGGAAATCATAAAGAAGGATTTTATAAAGTTACATTATCTATCATTTTTCTGTCAATATTTGTCTCACCCTGTGGAGCTGCACAATTGGAGGAGTGTTGGCATCCACGGCAAACTGGATCCTAAAATCAAGCAAGCAACCACTAAAAAAGGAAAGAGACGACAAGATGAAAAAGAACAAAGAGGAGACTGAGTTCAGACCATAGCCAAGCGGGGTAAACAAAAAAAAAAAAAAAACAATAACAAAGAGGACCTTCCATTGTCTTTTCTTTCTCGTCGTTCATGTTTACTCTCCTCCTACTTCTCCATCCGACTTCGTCAAAGACCAAAAAAACCACGAATCAAAAGGAAAAAGTCAATGGCTGGTTGGATAAACAAAAGCAAAAAAATAAAAATAAAAGATAATTAACTGAATCCAAAAAAACCCATAAACGAAACAAAAAGAGGAAAAACAGAGGGCATTCTCATGGCTAAGCAAATGGTTCAATTGATTTTGCTTTTTCCTCTTCTTCTGCCAATTTGCTACCTCCCCCTCAGCTTTTTTTTCTTCTCCTCCTTCTTTTTCATATGTCTCCTTTCATCAAAGAAGAGAGCAACAACCAGATCTCAAAAGTAAAAAAGAAGACGAACTGAAAACCAAAAAAGAAGCCAAGAAAACATAGCAAAAAGAAAGGGAAAACTAACTCCATTCTCATGGCTAATCCCAAGCATGTTCTCCTGCTGCTTCGTGTTCTTCAATTGATTTTTGTCTTTTCCTTACCTTTTAAAATTTTCTTCTCCAGTTGCTTTTTTGTTCGTCTTCGTTCATCTAAAAAGTGGAGAGTATGTAGTTCTGAATAGATGAAAGGGAGGAAGAGGAAACCAAGAGATAATCCAGAAGGAGAAAGTATAAGGAAACATAATTATAAATGGAATCGGCGGCAATCATCAAAATTTGAATGAAACCAGGGAAACAATGTCTTTGGAGTTGCACCCAATACCAAGAAACCAGAGGAAGAGAAAGTCGGGTAGACCCTCTCATATTCCTCTGTCGACTCCTCGATTGACAGGGGAAGAGAAGAATACCGACCAACCCTGTTTCAGTTTGCTTGTTCTTTTCCTAGTTCAGTTGACTATTGCTGGAGCATAACTGAAACAATATAAACGAAAGCATAATAAACATAAAACACACAAAGAACAACGATGAAGCTAGAATAGAAGTAGAAAAATGATTACACATGCTTTCCTCATCTTTTTCACAACCAACCTGTCCCCTAGTGTACTAACTACAGACAGAAAGTGGAGAGAAAAATAAATGTTGCTTACACATGCTGCATTAGAAGCTATGCCTAACCAAGTTGGAGTAACAGACACAACCATATCCATAAGACATAGAGATATAGAATTGCATCCTAAACATCATAAGTGTGGTCAAAACAATTGAAAAAGGAAGCAAAGGCAGACGAAGCCACACTAAGAATGTTGGAATGAACAGCAAGCCACAAATGAGAAACAATGCAAGGAAATCTTAGGCCAACAAAGGGCATAACCTAAGGAAAGATTCATGAATGCAAGGTTTCCTTTCCCTCTCTATTTCACCATTCAGTTTTAATATGCTATTGCAGCTCCACTCCTCTCCGTCTCTTTCTAGTAGCCCAGCTAAGTTGTAGGGCTTTAAATCTCACATAGAAAGTGCACATCTGAAAGTTGAGCATTCAAAACAGGTTATAAACCACGAAATTTAAATGGAACGATTTAGAATAATAATGAATACCTGACACTAAAAGCAAAGAGGGAGCACACAACAACAGTTTAAGAATTCAAGTCAGAAGGCTATAAGCCCCTTCAGGATATGATTAACATGAAGTTCAATTAAAGAAACTGTCTTCTTTTCAAGTATTCTCTGTGTTGCGAACAAAAATAGTAAATTCCCTAATTAAAACACCTTCATGAATTAAAAAACCCAAACTTCAAAATTACTTTACAACAAACTGTATAAGGAAACCCAACATAATTAAACTATGAAAAATATCCAACTAACAGAGAAGCAGAACATAAGGAAAGGACTTCATGCCAACAATGGAGTAGAGAGAGGTATTTTTCTTCTAGAGCGAGGGAGAAATCAAATTGAGAGTGAGAGATGAGGATCAAACCAATGAGTAGTGTTTAAAGAGACAACATAAACATCAAGAGATGAGAAATTAACCCAAATTTCGATTCCGATATTCCTTTCCAAGCTGAACTACCCATGAAACTTCTAAAATAGCTTGATCGATTCAGAGCATACCAAGACTCCATTACAACAACAACGCTCCTGCTAAACGAATTCCATTAGGATACAAATGGATGATTGAATTAGGTATGGAATCAGTTAAATAAGCAATTTATTCTGAAATGTAATTAAACTAAACCAAACACCTTGCACCTACACTACATAAACAGTAAAGAACACCCAAAATAAGCAAGTCTAAACGTAAAAAGATTCTGATACATGCTCTTGGATGCTAACTCATAAGAAAATGAACAAGGAGAAGCCAAGTTTGGGTGTCGGTGACATAGAATGTGAAGTTTCACTGCAAGTCCACTGGTGTTTTATGGCTGCTGCTTGTGCATTCAGATACATATAGTTACGTTGGTACTGATGCATCCAAGGGGATGTTGGAAACAACTCCATCTTACTAGGTTTGTGATAGGTGATATGATGCATGTACATCGAGAGTAGTAGCTGCAAACAATCAATGTAATGCCAAGATAAAATCAATTCCAACCCATTTGTTTCCATGAGTACTAAGAGTCTAACAGGATAAATGGTGAAACCAAACTGAATAACAAACCAAACGGAAAACCAAATAGAAAGAAGTACCCGTCAAATGAAAGAAAAAAAAATCAAAAGAAAAATAATTAAAGAGAACTTACAGTTCATATGATGTTAGAGATCTCTGCTTTCTTCTTCCACTTCATCGACTGCGATAGAGAGGCAGGAAGAGAAAATGCTGGGGGAATCAAACAAACACAAAGAAAAACATGTTTCCTTCTCGATGGCTCCCAAATGACAGCCCCTGCAATCTCCTCTACCTCCCGCATATCTCCTCAGCAATGCCATCGCAGAATCCAGAAAATCTCGTTGTCGCTCCAGTATTTGACACCTGTCATCTCTGCATAGATTACCAACCTCGTCGTTGCTATCGATCCACCATCATCGTCTATCTCGTTGACTACTGCTAGCTCCAAAGTCATCATAGCGCCTCACTACCATCTCCATCACCTCCATTGTGGTTGTGCTCTCGCCGCCCAACTCTGCACGATACCGTCGGCGTTGCACCCCTAAACAACCTCGCCATCGTCGGGACGCCTCTGCAGACTCGTAGGTAATCTTCCTCCTCGCAGCTTGCTTCTTCTTAACAGGGAGGGTTGGGTGAGTGAAAGAGATAAAGAGAAAGATGAAAGAGGAGAAGAAGACCAAAGCCGCTTCCATCTGCCTCTTTTAACAAAATCCACCTTCGACCCAATCCATTTATTACAAAAGCGGGTAAAACTCGTCCCCGATCCTAAATTTGTTAACACTGGATTGAACTCGCCTTGACCTGTTTAACAAAGCGCACCGCATTATTAACAAATTCCACACCCGATCCAATTCATTTATTACAAAAGCGGATAAACTTCATTCCCAGTCACACCAGGTTAAACTCGCTTTGATCGGGTCGAATTAGAAAAGCATCTAAAACCCGATTCCGCAGCAAAACTATTCAACATCAAGTCTGCCTCTCTCAACGAAATCCATACCCGGCTCAATCTCGTAAATTAGAAAAACATGTACAACTCATTGCCGACACCAAACTTTTCAACACCGCATTTTGACAAACTTTGGACAGATAGAATAAAAGAATTAGAAAAAATTAAATATAAATTGAACTTATTGTAATTCTTAATTACAAAGGGTTACATGTTAGATGAACAAAAAAGAAAGAGCAATCAATAGATCATTAGGATAAGAAAAGCGTATGTACCATGAAGGCAATAAAAAGTAGTTAAACAGAATAGATCATAAAATTCGGCGGGAAAAAAATAGTCAAACAGTACAATAAATCATAAAATGCGTCATAAAAAACCAAAAACCATTTCCAACCCCGATACAACAGAGAAAATGCGGTGAAACGACTCCAAGCTGCTACACAAACAATATAAAATTCGGTGGGGAAAAAAAGTCAAACACAATAGATCATTAAATCCAGCATAAAAAATAAAAAACTATTTGCGACCCCGACACAACAAAGAAAAGGCGATGAAACGACTCCAAGTGGCTACACAAAACACATCCAAGCACTCATTCAAAAGACCGAGATAAAAACTAAGCAAACCCTAAACTCGCAAAAACCATCTTCAATCCCGACACAACAATAGGTGTCAATCAGGCGGGTTCGAGTCGGATTCAATCGAGTTGCTAGTTAGTTGGGTTTCAGGTTTGTTGGATTGCGAGTTCATCGGTTCGGGTTCAATTGGGTTGCCAGTTCATCGGGTTTTGGGTCGGGCGGTTGCAGGCAAATCGGGTTGCGGGTTGTTCCGGACAACGCATCGAGTTACTTACTCCTTACTCGCTACCAACTTAAACATTTTATTACACTAATATAAAATATTTTTCATAATTTTTAACCAACTTATTTCTACCTTATATATATACTTAATTAAAAAAAACTAGTCAAAATGTTGAATCAATTTGTATGATTTGCAACTTGTCATGTAATTAATCATAATTCGTAAAGTGCACTAGATAATAGTAATGGCGATGTCAACAGTTGCAACCAGTAGACACTATTAGCAAACCAAACAAAACATCACTCTAAAAACAATAAAGAAAAACACTTTTTCTTATCTCAACAATTTTGAGCGGCAACATAAGTTAATCCAAACGAAAATTGGGCGACAATATAGATAAATCTAAAAGAAAATTTGGCGGCCTTTTGGAGCGGGAATGAAGAAGTTGGCCTGCAATATATATCAAGCAAAAAAAATTTGGACAACAATGCAACAGGAAGCAAAATTGAGTAAAAAAAAGACATGAATTATATATATAATAAATTACAAGCTAAATTCTCAGTGAAGTATAAACTTTTTGTTTAACAAAAAAATATATGAATAAAGGTTAATGGAAAATTTTTGCAAGTCGTTGTCAATCAATAATCCTAATTTATATCCATCTGCAAAATCTAGACAAGACACTAATATATAAACAACAGTTTATGAAAGATGGAAATTGAGCTTAATATTAAAAAATTGAAACGTTGATGGGACTAATTGGGTGGGAATTTTCCCTCATTAGATATTTATTTTGGTAAAGACAAATTGTAGATAGAAAGCAAAATGAGAAGAACGAAAAGTGGGGAGGGAAACATTGGAGACATAAATAGTTGGGATGAATATATCAAAATGAGAGGGTGGAATTTTGCCACCTAAATGAAAATGAGGTGGGAAAATTAGGGGGAAAAATTCAGAAATAGCACTGTTCAGAAAACAATTTACAAAAATAGCACCCAGCCCCAAAAAATTCCAAAAATAGCACACTTTTTCAAAAACCACAGGGTGGGGCGCTGTTTTCAATGAAAACCATACGAGTAAGAGCGGTTTTGCTAACCGCATGGGGCCAGGGCGGTTTGGTTCGAAACACAATCATCCCATATTAATTTTTTTTTATTTAGTAGGGATTAAAAAAAGCAACATGTTGTGGGAGTGGAGGTTCGAACCCAGATAATAAATAATTTACTAAATTTAGCACAACATCTACACCACCAAACTACAACTCTTCTATTGAAACAATTATATATTGACAAAGTTTTACTACTTGAACAACAGGGTTTTGGGAATTATTTTATTTACTAAGAATGAATTTTCAAAACATGAATTATTTTTGGATATACAGGGTTTTAGGAATAACTTTACCTTCCCTTTTCACAAATCCACATACATTGCGAAATTATGTCTATGATAAAAGTTGGGATTTTGCTACGGTGACATGCAGTTTTCGGTCGACCTCATATTGGATTAGGTCAACCTAATCTGTTGTTTCAGTGTAAAAACAGTTTCATGGTGTCTACTTTGGAGATTCGTATCTTACAATTGGCTAAATGAAAATTGGAGAATAAAGGCTTGTTTTGAAGCTGAAGTGTCCCTCTATACATTAAAGTACTTGGGAGCTCAATAGAAAGTTTAGAAGACCATTTTTGAACCTGACCAAAAGGCTATGCCAAAACTGGGAAACTGCCTGAAAAATGGCTAAGTCTGGCAACGTGTTTGTCAAGCCTACTTTGGAGCTCAATTTGAGAAGCATGGATGCGAGTCAAGTCCAAGGGCCTCTACCATATTAAATTACGTATTTTTTATACAAAGGCAAGGCATTGGATGAAATGTTGAATATCTTTAAAGCTTCAAACAAAATGCTCGAAGTTGCTACGAATGCTGTTTTTCTGGCAGCTTGCTTGTGCTCGAAGTCTGCCAGAAAAACGCCTTCGTAGCAACTTCGACCCTTTTGTTTGAAGCCTTATAGATATCCAATCTTTCATCCAATTCCTTGAATTTGTATAAATACATACCTAATTTAACGTGGTAGAGGCTCCTGGACTCGACTCGCATTCATGCTTCTCGAATTGAGCTCCAAAATAGGCTTCACAAACTCGTTTCCTGACTTAGCCATTTCTAGGCAGTTTCCCAGTTTTGGCATAGCCTTTTGATGAGGTTCAAAAATGGTCTTCTGGACTTCCTATCGAGCTCTCAATCACTTCAATATGTAGAGGGACACTCCAGCTTCAAATAAGTCATTAGTCTTCAATTTCCATCTAGCAAATTGTATGATATGAATATCCAAAGTAGGCACCATGAACTGTTTTTACACTCAAACAACAGATCAGGTCGACCTGATCCTATATGTGGTCGACCGAATCCTAAATGAGGTCGACCTGATCCTATATGTGGTCGACCGAATTCTAAATGAGGTCGACCTAATCCTAACTGAGGTCGACCGGAAAGTGCAAGTCACCGTGACATGCATGTCACCGTAGGCACACCATAAAAGTTGTAGTCCTAAAAAAGATAATCGAAATGGAAAAAAAATTCACTACGTTCGGATTTTGGAGCACAAAATTATGGCCGCCCAAAGTTTGACGAAATTGAAAAAAGGCTAGTTAAGAATACTCGAAAAAATAGAACCAAAATTGCTGGGTGGGGCAGCGGTTTTGGACCAAACCGGTCCGACCCTAAGCAGTCATGAAAACGCTCCTAACCGTGCAGTTTTCATTGGAAACCGCGCCCCACCCTGCGATTTTCGTGTAAACCGCTGGGTGGGGTGGCGGTTTTTGAGAAAGGGTGCTATTTTTTTGGAAATTTTCATGGTTGGGTGCTATTTTTGTAAAAAATATTAAACAACGCTATTTATGGAAAAAGTTGGAGAATTAATGAGTAAGATTAAGTTTTTGAGATCTGATAACTCTTTACATGTTCTCAAATCTACTATATCAAATTAGTCATGCCTAAAGTTATAGTAAGGTTTGTTATAGAGTATAGACAATATTTTTGTCACTTAATGTTTCACTCCTAGATCATCACATGTAAACATTGTGATAATAAAATTGATAATTAATTAAACTCGTAAACCATTATATGTAAATATTGTGATAAGCTTTCTCTCTTATTCTCTTAAAAAACATAAATACAAAATTTTCTCCTAATTTTTAGCTCAATAAAAAAATATCTAAATTTCCCACCTTTTCTCTTCATATAAATCAAAATCACGAAAAATTGAAACACCAAATTTTCCTTTCTTTTTTTCTCAAAAAATTAAAAACATCAAAATTTTCCACTTTTTTGTCTTTCTATAAACCAAACCATCAAAATTCTCTCTTTTTTCTTTTTCCAAAACTTAAATCACAAAATTTTCCTTTTTTTTCTCCAAAAAGTTGAAAACGCCAGTATTTTCCACTTCTTTCTCTTCTTATAAACTAAAGCATCAAAACGCCTCCTTATTTCCATCTCTTCATTCCTTTATTAAAAATACACAATTTCAACTCAATATAATTTTTTGAATTTTCCTTTATAAAATGAAAACATAGTCTTACAACAAACAAACTTCATTTTGAAATTATAAATAATATATAATATAGTAATTATTAGGGTAAATCGGGCGGATTACAGGTTAATCGGGTTTGGGCCAATCTGGTTCAGGTCAATCGGTACAGGTTTAATTGAGTTGCGGGTCAATAGGGTTCAGGTTAGTCGGGTTACGGGTTATGGGTTAATTGGGTCACGGGTCAATCGGGTTGCAGGTGGTTAACTTTTAGTTAATTCGGGTTACGGTCGGGTTGTGTGTCGGGTTAGTCAGGCAGGTTAGTCGGGACGGATTCTGTTTTAACACCTATAGACACAACGGGTAAAAACAGTCCAACGACCCTATGCGTGATCAATAAGCGAAGAAAATGCGAAGGCCGGCCCCACGAAGAAAACAGGTAAACCACTATAAACGCACAATAGATCATTAATTATTGCATAAAAAACCAAAAACCATTTGCAACCCCGGCAAAACAGAGAAATGGCGATGAAATGACTCCATGTGGCTACACAAAACAAATCAAAGAACTCATTCGCAAGGCCGGGATATAAACCTAGCAAATCCTAAACTCACAAAAACGATCTTCATGTCCGACACAACGGGAAAAATGGCCCAACAACCCTAAGAGTGGTCAATATGCGAAGGGCGACACCATGGAAAAAACAGGTAAACGACTGGAAACGCGATCTATATGCGAAGGGAAAAATAATAAAAAGATAATTTGTACAAGAAAAATGTATTGATCATTAAGGGTGAATAGTGGCACTCCAACTTTAACGGGGTCGAATTATGTCCAATATCCATTGATTTGCGCTCAATTGTGATAAACTAATTAATTAGAAGTTTTTTTTTGAGGAAATAATTAATTAGAACTTTAATGATACAAAAACTATTTCAAGCTATGGCTAATTACTAAAGGGTCACCCTTGTGATGTGATCCCTCTATAATATATAGCAATTCTTCAAGAGATTTTGAGCATTTCAAATTCCTTGCACTCTCCTTAATTGTAACTAGGGGTAAATTTGTAAGTTCAACTTAGAATTTAAATATCTTCTTACGAGAAAAAAAATGTCATTACAAAGACTTGAACTCAAGTTCTTTAAATTGATAGTCAATATCCCTAACCAACTGGACAACAACAATGTTTATATATTTTTTGAATTAAAGAGAGAAAATACTGAAATATCTCAAAATCATAGGACTATCCAACGCAACAATCAATCATCGAATTAATTAATAACTGTAATTATTTACAAAGTGAATCATCTTGATATACCTAGATTTATGAATCAACTAAGCGAGTTCCTCTAATCACACAATTCTTCACCAAGAATCAAATAGTACATTTTGAATTTATGTATGTTTTACAACTTTTACATTTATTAGGTTACATGACTTTGTAGTTTGTAGGAATACAAGGATTGTTTACAAAAGTGCTATACAAAATTTTATTTCAAAACATAAAATTTGACATTTGTGATCTATGGTTTTGTAACGAGACATTTTCCATGCTATAAGTGAATGACCAAAAATCATTGGCTAACAATTTTTCGAATGGTTGACAATTATAAGCATAGAATTGAAAGACTAAATACCATTGACAAATGAGCCAATTATCATTGGCTAAATTTAACAAACAATGATATGTGTATATACATTGGCAATTCTATGGTACACTAGATGGATTGAGGGTTATTGCATCTCCTTAGTTAAATAACATTATCTAGACCATAGATTAATCATGTAACTAAATCCTATATCATAATTCTCTAAATCCTAATATAGTGCATATGGTATGTTGTATACATCTTGGAGAATCAGGATCATTGATTATGTTCTTAGTATATGTGATATTATAGGAGTTTAAGTTCTATAGATTTAGGGTATATGATTTAATTATTTGAAACTTAATCTCTCTTTTCAAATTTCCTGCAATGAGAGGGGAAATTAGGAAGGACATTTTTGTCTTTACAATTATCTGTATTTTTTGATTTATTTACAGAAAAAGATAGGCATATTGAGTTTGAACCATGGTCACTTCAAACAAAGTGAAGTTTCAAAATCAATCAGACTATGTAGATTTGTTGTATTTTTTAAATTAAAAATATATACGAAGCTAAAATATGAAATCACAGAATTTTTCAACAGTTAGCTAGCCCAATAAATATTCCGTAAGTACTTATTTGGTGTTTTGATACTTCGATTTTGATAATTTTTATTTTAATTATCATATAATACTTAATTTTAAATTTTATCTATCTTATTAATAGAGGATAACCATAAATTTGCAACCAAAATCTTGTTGGTTCGAATATTTCATATCGAATTATAGTATTGAATATGTAGAAGCGATATAGAATTCTTATATTACCATTAATTTCCAGAACTATAGTGAAGCAATCATATCTTTGTGCAAACTATATGCGACTGGTTCTCTGAACATTTTTGTTCGGTTAAATACTAAGTTTTGAAACTCTTCCTAGGGATGTACGTGGGTCGGTTCGTTTGGGTTTTGATATTTAATCACCTAACTCATATACCACGATTTTGAAAACACTAAATACAAACTCACCCAAATAATTTAGAATTTTAACGGTTTGTGTCCTCATATCAAATGAATCAATTTACATGCGCTTAACTAGGGACGATCTCATTGTCCAATCCCATCATTCTAATGTCAATCCATAAAAGTAATCCATATTCACGTTTGTTAACATATGTTTCACATTGTCATTACTGTGGCCGGTAACTTCGCTGCAATTGATTCGGTATTGCTCATCATATGGCCTCCAAACTGATAAATATATCGGGCCAGCAGTTTTATAACAAAACTCAAAGTGAAGACAACTCATCATCTGGTGGAATTTTGGCACTTGCTGGTGTCCATTAATCTAATTGGAAGCATAATGATTGCTAAAATTAAGCGTTCACGCAACACACTGGGAGTTGGGTGTGTGAACTTGGAGTAAAAGTTGATATTGGGTTTGGGAAGAAAAGTGGTGAGAGGAAGAAATTGTGTTTTGATTTGGTAGTAGGTAAAGTTCATGGTTCGGCTTCTTTACGTAAACTTTGAGGAAGGTTCATAAATAGTTATGGAAGTAGTTTGCAGCAAGTGAAGGGAGTGAATAGGCAGTTGGTAAGGGTAGTGATTGAACCAAGGAGAGTATTGAAAGACATAGAAGCAAAATCGGAGCAGTTGAAGAGAGATAAGTGGTAGATGAAAATGGAGAGGGTATCGAAGGGCATGGAAGTGAACTGGATCAGGTGAAGGCAGAGAAGGAGGAGAAGAGCATATTGATGGAATTGAAGATGAGTGTTGGTTTTACGAGCTTATTAAAACTGCCCTGAGGAAGATGAGTTGGCCAAATACAAGAAAGAGGATTGAGAAGTTGGAGCTGACAAGAAACTCAATTGATAGAGAAATTCAGGTTCATGGAGAGAAGGTCCATCAAAGTAGCATAAATGGAGTTGCAGAAGGAGGATTAGAAATTGAATTTTGGTTTAAAACATATACGTCGAGAGACTGAAGATGGTGGAGATAAAAAGTTGGTTGTACAACGGAGAGTGGAAACCATTGGATCTTTAGGTGTTCTGGTTGTTGCAACTACCACAACCCATGTTTATGTTAAAACAAGGAATCATTGATTGATTTGCTAAAGTTAAAGTCAATTCACTATTCAAACTACTAGAACCTGTAGATAATGAGTGTCTAATTTTGTGCCTCATTACTTTGATCGAGTCTATTAGTATATTGGATGTAACTCTAATTTTGTCATTTGCTTTCAAGTTTTGATGGTCTCCTTTTAGTTGAGTTGTTAGCATATGATTTACTTGAATCAACAACTTTTCATTTACGTTTTTTTTTATAAATCCATTTCTTTTTTATTAGTGGCATTTTATTCATAGAGGAGAGCTTTGAACCATTTATGTGGGATTGTGAGGTTTCATTTCAGTTTCAAACTATCTGTGGATGGTGTAGTAATTCCACTGACCTTTTATATTATATATTTCTGGACAATCTATTAACCAATATCATTTTAATGGGGGCTCAATTATCATTATAAAAATGGGATTAATGATACATTTTTATATGCTTAAATGAGGAGGGTATTTACCTGAATGTTCGACCTATATATTCATTCCTTATGTAGCATCTGGATTGAATGATTTTCAATAAACTTAAATGAATTAAGAGACTTAAACATAAGATAAAAATATAAATATTAAAATATGAACATTCCAGCCAACAGGCTGGATTATAAGCTAGTTTTATTAAATAGTGCTTTAGAACCTGTTCTGTTAAATAGTTAACTACTAGTTTTGGCCCGCGCTTCGCAACGGTAAAAAAACTAATATATTTAAAACTTTATCGACTCATTTAATAACTTAGTTAAAATCAAATAATTCACAAATTAGCTTGGGCAAAATACCTATATAACCTTTACACTCGGTCTTAATCCTATAGAATAATTACGTAATATATTTAACTAGGAGTTCGATGTCGTCATTGGGCTAAGCTCGGTACCCAGATTTGTCTACGAAGCCTGCAATCCCTAGTTTTGATTTTCGAGAGAAGAAGATATTGATTTCCTGAAGAAGGGAGGAAGTTCTTCGTAAAGAAGAAATGGGATTTTCCGAGGAAATTTGGCTTCGCAAGTCTCCCGCAGGCGTGCCGTTTAGCGGGTTCGCGGAGGTGAGAGATAGAAGGAAGAATAGAGTCCTTGCTTCAATTTCGTAGATTTGTGTCGCCGTCGTCTCCTATCGGAGATGGGAGGTGGTGAACTTGAAAGACAGTAGTGATGGGAGAGAAAGAAAGAAGGTTTGAGAAGTGGGACCATCAATAACTTTTTGGCTTTTTCTATTTTTTTAAAAGAGGGCCACTGATCTGGTGTAGTTGTTTTTTGTGAACTCATGAATCTTATAAACCAAAAATCCTATCAATTGCCACGTTTGGCCAGCCCAACATATGTACACATGGGCTCACATTAATTATACTGCATCCAATTATTCAGCCCCTTTATGAACAGTATAGTGCGATTATTTCGTAATGATCAGTGAATTGCGTGTTTTGGTAATTTCTGGCTGCTTGCGGCTTAATTATTCTAATAATAATAATAATAATAAATTAATTAACTAACTTGTATTATATACGTCAATCGTGCCATCAGGAGCACAACACATTTGTAATTAAACCATCTGTGCTCTCTACTTGCCAATCTTTCCCTCTGCCGAGAAATGGCCTCACTCACTTTCATGCCTCTGACCACAACACTCGCCGGGAGCAGCGATCCTCCGCCGAGGGCATTTTTTCCCCTCCTCCTCCTCCACCGCATTCCCACCAGAATCTGCTGCCACAGAACCCAATCCGAATCGCAATCCCAAATCATCCCCACCAAAAAGCAGCTAATTCCAGGCCCAGCAAGGCTTCCCTTGATCGGAAACTTGCATAACCTAATCGGCGCGCTGCCGCACCAAGCACTCCGAAACCTCGCCTCCCAGTACGGCCCCATCATGCACCTCCAGCTGGGAGAAATCTCCGCCGTGGTGGTCTCGACTCCGGCGATGGCCCAAGAAATCCTGAAGACCCAGGACCTGAACTTCGCCGACCGACCCCGGCTTCTCGCCGCCGAGATCGCCACGTGGGGGAGCCTGGACATCGCCTTCTCCCCTCACGGCGAGTACTGGAAGCAAATGAAGCGGATTTCGCTGACGGAGCTTCTCGGTCCCCGGAAAACGTTGTCGTTTCGCGGGATTCGAGAAACAGAGGTTTCGGGGTTCATCCAATCTCTCAGGAATTCTGCGGGGAAGCCGGTGAATATCACCGAGAAGCTGCTCAATCTTACCAATAGGATCACCACGAAGGCCGCGTTCGGGTACCAGTGTGTGGACGAGGATGAGTTCGTCGGGCTGGTGAACTCGGCGGTCAAAGCGGCTAGCGGTTTTAACGTCGCCGATTTGTACCCTTCTCTGGGATTTCTCCAGGATCTCACAGGGATGAAATCGGAGCTCCTCAGGACCCGAAATGGGCTGGATCGGATCTTCGCTAAGATCATTAAGCAGCACCAGGAAAAGAGAGTCAACGGTGGCGGTGATGTGGAATCGGATGATGAAGATTTCATGGACGTTCTTCTCAGGCTTCAGGGGACTGGTGGCTTTAAGTGTCCCATAACTAGCACCAACATCAAAGCTGTGCTTGTGGTAATTAATTACGTGTAATATTATTATTATTATATATGATTCTTTTTTCTTTTAACTTCTTCTTCTTGATGACATCTAACACTGACTCGATTGGGTTTGATAGGATCTGTTTATAGCTGGGACGGACACTTCATCGATAACCATGGAATGGGCGATATCTGAAATGATGAAAAATCCAAGAGTGATGAGAAAGGCTCAAGCCGAGGTGCGCGAAGCCATGAAAGGAAAATCAATCGTCACAGAAGCAGACATTCAAAACTTGCCATACCTGGACTTGGTCATCAAAGAAACCTTCAGGTTACACCCACCGATACCACTGTTGCTTCCGAGAGAAAGCAAGGAGAGGTGTGAGATTGCCGGATACGAGATAGCGAAGAAAACCAAGGTGATTGTGAATGCGTGGGCGATCGGGAGGGATCCCGGTGCGTGGGAGGAACCCGAGCATTTCATTCCCGAGAGATTCGATGGAAGCGAGATCGATTTTAAAGGTATGCATTTCGAGTTGCTCCCATTCGGAGCTGGAAGAAGGATATGCCCTGGAATAGCACTTGGAATGGCCAATGTGGAGCTTCCTCTAGCTCAGTTACTCTACTATTTTGACTGGGAGCTCCCAGGAGGGCTAATCGCTGACAAGTTTGACATGGAAGAGTCGTTTGGAGCCACTATGAGTAGAAAAAACCCTTTGTACTTGGTTGCCAAGGAGGTTGATTCAAATTAGCAATAATATGTTTGGTTGCTTTAAGTACTGGTGAAGAGGCATATATATATAGACCAATACTCCTACTATACTTGGGGAAGTTGCAAATTGCCCTTGCAGATTTGTGGTATTTTAATTAAGACTGTAATCATGGAAGTTGTGATTATTATAATTGGTTTTTTCGTTTTTAAACACTTGAGCCATATCTCCCTCCCTCATCCCGTCCAATGTCCAAGTGATGTCTCATTTTCACCTACAGAACAGAACTATAGGACTAAGTAGATTATAGGGTTAGTTTGGCCATGCTCCTGCTCCTGAATCTTTTGTTATTGAGAAGGGGTGTATGATCCACCCAATTGAGCTACACAAAGTTGAGGAGGCAGAAGTCAAGGAAGATGTTGATTTCAAGTGAAGATTATATTCTAACAAAATTGTTGTTCACGGTGTTGTTAAGTTTAGGAATGAGAGGAATGCAATAAAACAGTTAGTTACTGAGGATGGTAGGAGAATAATTGAAGTCGAGGAAATTGGGCAGGAGGCAGTGGCATTCTTTGAAAATTTGTTGGGAACAGAGAATAAGGAGTTGAAAGGGTTCCAGTTAGCTTGTTGAGAAGACTGTTGGTAAATCATTTAACGGAAGATGTTGATTATCCAGTTACAGATGAGGAGATAGAGTTGTGATATTTGGTATGACAAGGGAGAAAGCCCCAGGGTCAGATGGCTTCTCAGACCAATATTTTCAAAACACTTAATTGGGTACTGGTTGAAGAGGACGTTACCACTGCAATCAAGGAGTTTGTCCAGCTGACAAGCTGTTAAAAGAGGCAAACAACACAATTCTCACCTGATACCTAAAATTCCAAATGTAGAATCTATGAAACAGTATAGACCTATATCCTGATGTAATTTTGTTTACAAATGTATCTCTAAGGTAATTACTAGTATACTTAAAGAGGCACTGCCTATACTGATTAGAAAAAAAAGTCAATTTGCCTTCATAAAAGGAAGAAGCTAATAATATTGTTTTGGCACACGAGAAGGTGTTGTGGGATAGAAGGAAAAATGTCTCCCCTAGTAATTTTACAATGTTATATAGTATTTGTGTTATAGGGTTTTGACTTTATGGTACAACTTAAAATTATACATTTACGTTATGGTACAACTTCATATTGTACCTCTATTTTTTGTACAAATTCTTTTATGGTACAACTTGAACTTGTACGTTTATGTGATGGTACAACTTCAAGTTGTAAAGTTGTACCATAACATAATAGTAAAAATTGTTTTATGGTATAACCTAAACTTATACATTTAATGTTATGGTACAACTTTAAGTTGTGCATTAAAGCACCAATACTATATAGCATAGTAGAAGTGCTCCTCCCCTAGATGTGCTATTAAGTTAGATGTAATGAAAGTCTTCGACGATGTGCATTGGGGGTTCTTGTTTGATGTTCTAGAGGCCATGGGATTCCCTTAACAGTTTATGGAATGGATCAAGAGTTATTTACTACAACTTCCTTTTCAGTTTGTATTAATAGGAGGCTGACAAGATACTTTCCTACAAACAAACAAGGGTTGAGACAGTGAATCCCCTCTCACCCTACTTATTTGCAGTCTTGGACGGTTTAAGTTGTATGCTGAACAAGGTAGCCATAAGAAGAGTTTTACCCTATCACCCTTTGTGTTAAAGAATTGGCATATGCCCGATATATGCTTTGCTAATGATTTGTTGATCTTCACCAAGTAGTCAGTGAAGGGAGTCCAGGTAGAAACTAAAATCCTTAACCATTTCTATAGAGATTCTGGACTTAAATGCAACCAAGGGAAAAGCGAGCTGTACTGTGAGGGGGTGAGTGAATAATTGAAGAAGGAATTGATTGCTAAATTAGGGTTCTAGGAAGGGGGGCGATGCCAATGAGTAGGGGTGACTATTTGGACCGGGACCGGATTAAAAACCGGAAACCGGACTGTATAACCCGGACCGGGACCGGATAGTAAACAATCCAATCCAATCTTTGGGCTTAGATTTGAGGTAAAAAACCGGATAAAGACCGGATAAGAGAGCTCAACACCCAAAACTTAAGGGTAATTTGCATAAACAGTCACAAACCTTTGCACTTAGTACAAAACTTAACCAACTCCTCACCCTTTAAGGCCTTAGGCCACTCAAATCCCACAATCTCAATGTAAAATCAAGACCGAATTGGGACCGGACCGGATCAAAACCGGACCGGATCAAGACCGGACTGTATCCAATCCAATCTTCGGTCCTTATATTTTCAAAAAGACCGGACTAGACCGGATCAATTTGGGCCAATTTAACCGGACCGGACCGTATAGCCACCCCTACCAATGAGGTACTTTAGGGTGCCTTGGATAGCAAGCAAGTTAAATTCTGCTGAATGTCAAGCTCTTGTGAACAAGTCTACTAAAAGGATAAAAGGGTGCCACCCGAAAATGCTCGCTTATGCAGGAAAGTTAGGATTGACAATCTCTGTACTAGCTAGTATGGTGCAGTACTGGATGGTTGTGTTTCATTTGCCAAAAAAGGTTATAGCTGCAATAGAGAAGGCTTGCTCTTACTTTCTACGAGATAGTGAGAAGAGGAAGGCAAAAGTTACTTGGTAGATTATAGCATTGCCAAAAGAGGAGGGAGGACTGGGGTTTAAGGATTTACGTTCATGGAATCAAGCATGTTTGGTCAGGCATTTGTAGAACTTCCTTTATTTTGGTAGAACAGAACATCCTTTCAGATCAGGAGATATTGTGGATTGCTTGCTTAAAGGAATATCGACTTTAGAACCTTAATATTTGTGTGACAAGGACACCTGGCTCGTGGTTATGGAATGAACTGTTGAAAAATAAGAAGTTAAGCAGTGCACTTGTTAGTTAAAACTCATGAGGGAGTGGTATGGAATGGGGTACATATGCCAAAATACAGAGTTATATTGGTTTGGGAAGTACTGAAACCTCACGGGGAGAAGAAGAATGGACAGGGCTGATCTGGAAACAGTTTGTAATCTCAAGAAACTCACGGCTTATGTGGCAAATTCATAGAAACCCGGATTGCTGTTCCTATATGTGGCTATACGGTCCGGTCCAGTTAAATTGACCCAAATTGATCCGGTCTAGTCCGGTCTTTTTGAAAATATAAGGATCAAAGATTAGATTGGATACAGTTCGGTCTCAATTCGGTCTTGGTTTTATATTAAGCTTGTGGGGATTTGAGTGGCCTAAGGCCTGAAAGGGTGAGGAGTTGGTTAAGTTTTGTACTAAGTGCAAAGGTTTGTGACCGTTTATGCAAATTACCCTTAAGTTTTGGGTGTTGACCTCTCTTATCCGGTCTTTATCAAGTTTTTGATTCGGTCCTGAACGGTTTTTTACCTCAAATCTAAGCCCAAAGATTGGATTGGATTGTTTACTATCTGGTCCCAGTTCGGTTTCGATCCGAGTTATAAGGTCCGGTTTCCGGTAAAACCAAAAAACCCGGACCAAATAGCCAGCCCTAAGAGCCACGACAACATCAGTAGAGAGTAAGAGAAGGGACTCGGCTGGAAGAGGGAAGAAAAGAGATTAGGAAAATACTTTAGGGTTTTATCTTGCCTACTGACTTAATCCCACTTACAAGAATATATATATATATATATATATATATATATATATATATATATATATATATATATATATATATATATATATAGATAGATAGAGATATCTTACTAGTAGTACCTGACGTATAGTATACGCCTGATGTACGCCAGTCTGACCCATATATATATATATATATGGTGTCTTCTACGGTACCTCGGGTGAGGGTACCGCATACCTTGAGTATGAAAACGCTATATAGACATCAAATTAGCAGGATTTTTTGACATGATATTATATCCTAACCCTTAATGAGTGAACCCTAGGTCCTAAGTATCTAAATCATAAACTATAAACCCTAAGATGTGCATTTATTTTTTTGCCTATATTTAGATGAATCAGAACCGTCGATTATTATTTCTAATTAAATTGATCTTGGGGTATAAGATTTAGAAAATTAAGACCTAGATTTTGATCTTTAAGGGTTAGAGTATAGTATCATGTCCGAAAGATCAGTCAATTCAAAGTTCTGGATAGCGTTTTCTTACTCAAGGTATCCGGTACCCCGGATTTCACCCTGGGTACCGTAGATATATATATAGTGACGTTTTCGGTGCACCCGCTTATTTGGGTGCATTCAGTGCACTCACTTCATAACCGTCATTTTAAACATGCGATTCATGTCAAAATGATGTCAATCATCACTTATGATGTGATGAACAATAACGCACATGAATTTGCACAAAAACCATTAAAGATTTACTTTAATTTGAAGGATTTAGAGTTTAGAGATTTAGGGTTAGGGTTAGGGTTTACAATTTGGGGTTTAGGTATAGAACTCAAAATTGGAGGTCTAGGGCTTAGGGTAATCCACTAATTAGTTGTTATCCTATGTTATATCATCGTATTACACTAATTCTACAAATTAAAATTCAAAATCCGACACCTCAAGACTAGTTTTTGAGTTGGGTGCATTGAACGCACTCCTTTTTGTGAGTGCACCGAAGTAGTTACCTATATATATATATATATATATATATATATATGGCAAAGGCTAGCGTGCGTCAGTCGTACGCTATACGCCTGCGTTCACACCTATTTTTTTACATGGATAATTCTGACGAATCAGAACCGTTGATTTTCATTTTGAGATTAAATGTATATATATAGTTCTCTAATGCTACCCAAATTATAAAATACCTACAAATGACCCAAAATTCTCAATAAGTCATAAGAACATATACCGACAACACAATCCGAATAATCAAACTGCAGAAAAAACAGATTTCTATCCGCTAATTGCACAAGACAGATTACTACTTTTGATAAAATAAAAAGATGGCAACCTGAGATCGATGTCACCTGTCCAATGTGTTCTAGTAAGGGGAGGAAAAGGATAATTTGTTCTTTAGATTTCAACTAGTAAAAGGCCACTCGTTATCGTTTGGCGTATCATTAGAAAAATAAATATTTTAAAGAGTAATAGTTTTAATGTTGACCCAAAAGTGAAAGTAATCTTATTTCATTCTTAATCACTTTTTTCATAGGTTTGTTACAATAACATATGGTCGATGAACTTGCATAACGTAGAAGAGTCGTCGAATAGATTATTTATGTTTAAACTTCTTGCATGACGCCAATGTTTCAATTTGTATGGCTAGTAGTTGATCCTGGTATAACTTTTGCATAATGAAGCAGCTTCTCTGAATTTTTTCAAATTAGGTTGGATCCCCATTGATGTGGGTTCAATTGTCTTTCTCAAACAAAAGGAAAAAGCAAAATGAAAAACACTAAAGCTAAAACTCGTCAACACCATGTTCAACTCGCTTTGACCTGGTTGGACTGAGTTTTGGACAAATTCACACCTCACACAAAACGCCAATTACAAAAACTAGATAAAACTCGCTCACGCTGTAAACCTGTAAAATCGGATTCAAATCACTTTGGTCGGGTCGAATTAGATTGTATACCCATGCGTTTGGACTCAATTGTCATTCTCAAATCACAACCAAAAGGATAAGGATAAAAAAAATACTAAAGTGGATAAAATTTTCTCATGACCCCAAGAAAAAGGAAAAAGTGAAAGAAAAATAAAATACTAATGCGAACGAAACTCGGTCCCGATACAAAACTCCCCAACATTGAGTAGATATGGTATGGATTTTTGGTAGCGGCATTAAATTCAATTGTGATCATACTTAACAAAAAGGAAAAAGAGAAAGAAAAAACACTAAAGAGGATGAAACTCGGTCCCGATACAAAAATCCTGGTATCGGCCTTGGGAAACAATGGTGGGGAACAACTTAGGATTCCGCAGACAGTATTTTGAGATGGGGTGCAGAATGGTGGGCAAAGGCGATCCTTTGTATTCAAGTTAGGATACCCATGTGTTTGAGTTCAATTGTGATCGTGCTCAATAAAAAGGAAAAAAAAAGAAAGAAAAAACACTAAAGAAGAAGAAACTCGGTGCCGATACAAATCTCGTGGTAGCAGCCTTGGGAAACGGTAGTGGAGAAAACCTTAGGATTCCGCCGACAGTATTTCAAGATGGGTTGCAGAATGGTGGGAAAAGGCTATGATTTGTTTTCAAGTTAGATACCCATGTGTTTGGGTTCAATTGTGATCATGCTCAATAAAAAGGAAAACAAGATAGAAAAAAACACTAAAAATGATGAAACTTGGTCACGATATAAAACTTGTGGTAGCGGCATTGGGAAACGGTGGTGGGGAACAACTTAGAATTCCACGATAGTATTTCGAGATGAGCTTAAAATGGTGGGCAAAGACGATCATTTTATTCAAGTTAGGATACCCATGTGTATGGGTTCAATTGTGATCATGCTCAACAAAAAAGGGGGAAAAGAAAGAAAAAAACACTAAAGAGGTTAAAACTCGGTCCCGATACAAAACTCGTGGTAGCGGCCTTGGCAAACAGTGGTGGGGAACAACTTAGGATTCCGCGATAGTATTTCGAGATGAGCTGCAAAATGGTGGACAAAGGTGATGATTTGTGCAAAAATCTATAGACGAAAACCTAGAGAACAATAATTAAACACAAAGGCGATGATTTTTGCAAAAAGTCATAGACAAAAACCTAGCGAACAATAACAAAACACAAAGGCGATGATTTGTGCAAAAAGCCATAGACGAAAACATATCGAACAATAACTAAACACAAAGGCGATGATTTGTGCAAAAAGTCATAGACGAAAATCTAGCTAACAATAACAAAACACAAAGGCGATGATTTTTGCAAAAATACAATAGACGAAAACCTAGCAAACAATAAATAAACACAAAAGTTGTACAATGAAGAGTGAGGTAAAAGAAGGGCTTTGAACTTCCACACTTGCACTTGGAGGAGTGTGAGAGCCACTAATAAATAGTAACTCTCATGTTAGGCTTTTATACATTAATTAATATATTAATATGTGCAACAAATTCTGAAAGCTGTTTTCTCGCCGAGCTGGAGACGAGCTCCGAAGGTAGGAATGGAAATGGGTCATGAACAGGGCGGATAGTGATAAATCCGTGCCCTGCTCTGTCCTCGAATTCTTGATCCGATCTGCCCCGCGCCCCCGCAATGGGTCACCAATTTTCGCCCCAAACATTATCCGGCGTCATAGACGAAAATCTAGCTAACAATAACAAAACACAAAGGCGATAATTTTTGCAAAAAAAACAATAGACGAAAACCTAGCAAACAATAACGAAACACAAAAGTTGTACAATGAAGAGTGAGGTAAAAGAAGGGCTTTGAACTTCCACACTTGCACTTAGAGGAGTGTGAGAGCCACTAATAAATAGTAACTCTCATGTTAGGCTTTTATACATTAATTAATATATTAATATGTGCAACAAATTCTGAAAGTTGTTTCTCGCCGAGTTGGAGATGAGCTCCGAAGGTAGGAATGGAAACGGGGCATTAACAGGGCGGATAGTGATAAATCGGTGCACTGCTCTGTCCTCGAATTCTTGATCCGATCTGCCCCGCGCCCCGCGATGGGTCGCCAATTTTCGCCCCAAACATTATCCGGCGCGGTGCGGATAAAATCCGCCCAGCTCCATCCTTAGAATTTATCCGCCCAGCTCCATCCTTAGAAATTAGAAGGGAGGATCAGAGACTCTTACCTGTGAAGGAGCGACTGGGATAATTGAGAGGTCGACAACAAGACGGATATGAGGAAGGCCGAGCGATGAGGACGACCAGAAGTTGACGACGAAGGCTACTATGGCGATTTCGCTTGGAGATGACGACAACCGGTGAGCGGAGACGATGGTGATGACGAGTTCAACTTGTCAAGGCAGAGGCGTGACCGCTGCAGATTTGTCGACGAAGAAGGTGGGACACAGATGACGACTACGGAGAAGGCTTTTATTGATTGGGGTAATGGAATTAATTAGGGATATTTAATTGGGATGGGGTTTGGGAACTGGAAAAAATTAATAGGGATTAGAAATTGGTAGAGGAGGAATGATTTCGCTAAAGGCATAAGGGATAGTATGCAGGGTCTGGAAATTTGGGTCTCTTTGGGAAATTGATAACTAGTGGTTGCCTGTCTCTCTCTTTAGCTTTTCAGTGTATTAGACAACGGAGCGAAGCGGAGCAAATCAGAGCGGGGCAGAGCAGAAGGCAGAATCCATATCCGCTTTGTTCTAAAAGCGGATTAGATCACGATCCGCTCCGTTCAAGAACGGGTCGGATTTTATCCGCCCCATTACAAGTCGGATCAGATAAATTAAAATCCACGGAATCGGATCTGATTTCCCATCCCTATCCGAAGGAGTGGTGGAAGCAGGGCTTGCAAGATGCTATTGTCTACTTTAAGAAAAGTAAGCATGAAAGACTAATATGGAATGTAGATGTTAGTGAAATCCTAGCATGAGAGGTGTTAAGAGGGTATATGATAAGAATTTTATGAATAGTAGGGAGATTATCAACCAAGTAAGGAGACACTTGAGTTTTTTTTTATCCTAGGGAATCAATTGATTGGGTAGGACCAGATCAGTGAACCTTTATGTTCGTGACAGGACTTGGCTAATTTTGGGGGGTCAGGATAGTATAACAACACTCTTTGTTGTTATAATAATAATAGGATTCATTAAGAGTAAAAAAGTAAATTATTAATAAAAATAATAAATGAAAATTAATCCTACGCATTTTCTTGTTCGATCTGAACCACATGCGCTGGATCTCGTTTCTTCTTCTCCCCTGTCGGCCCTGAAAAATCAAAACCTTCACCAGCGTTCCAACTCCATCGTCTCTCCATCGTCACTCAAATCGCAAATCAACCATCGCAGGCGTCGAACAAAAGGAGTGGTTCATCTCCTTCACCAATCTTGCTGACGGATTTCGACAAATCGCCACCGTGTCGCCATCAGCAGAGTAACAGGAGCCATGGATTTGTTGAGGTCGGCGGAGGAGGAATCGACGATGGAGTTGGAGAGGTCGGGGCAGGAGAAGAAGAAGCGCTAGGAGGCGTAGACGGTGGCCAAGTCGGGCTCGGCGGAGGATGAGGTTGAGGAAGCGGAGGAGACCCGCGACAGCGACGTTGGGGGTTGGGTTTCCTCGAGAAGGGAGTTGTAGCTTTTGAATAGATTTGGGATTGGGTGGTTGTGATCTTCTGGTAATGGCGGGGAGGGTGAGGCGCGCGATCGGCACGGACGCGGCGGCGGGGGGTAGAGGAGGGGGCGTTTGGTGATGACGCTGAAGCAGCAGTTTGGTTAAGGCAGACAGTACGCTCCCTTGGGTGCCTCTTATGGTGTTTGGCTATTCGCTGGTGGACAGTGGAAACAACAATTACGTTGACACACCGCTCAAGTCAGACTCGCCTCCTTACGAGATCGATTCCTAGAGAAGCCTTTTCTATCATTATAGTAGTAAGTACAGTACTTGGGAGTACCGAAAAGAAAGATGGCTTCTTATTATCCGCTGGGTTTACGAATGCTAGCTGGGTTTGTGGTGGTGCAACTTCCCATGGAACTTTGGCTTTGGATCTCCCTTATGGGGTTTCTTTTTTCCTTCAAATTTTTGTTTTTGTTGTACGTTTGATGAGTTTTTGCTTTATTAGCTTTGGATGAACCTTGGTTTTTCTTTCCAGAAATAATTAGATCGTCTTAGTGTTTGTATGGTTTGTGTTGAACCATGTACAGCATGGAGAAGATACTTGAGCGCTATGAGAGGTAGGGGTGGTAATCGGTTTTCCGGTTTACCGATTTAACCAATAACCGTACCGATAACCGGCATGATCGGTATTCGGCAGCGTCTAAAAGGATTTCGGTATACCGGCTCCTCTCCCGGTAAATACCGACGGTTTCCCGGTATACTGATACCGGCGTCGCGGGGTGGAACAGAGAGACAGAAGCCCTAACAAATCGATCGATCCAACCACCCTTCTCCTTGTCCGACAGCCTCCCTTCGCTCGACTTCCTCCCCAACCCTTCTCCCTGTCCAACGCCAGCGCCCACGCCGCCTCCACCTCTCTGCGACCTCGCCTTCCCTCTCCGACCCTGGCTCCCTCTCCACCGCTCTGCCTCCATTCGACCCAGTTCGCGACCTCGCCTTCCAAGGAAGAGTCGCCGTTGATTCGTTATCGAAGAGCTGAAACAGAGGTTCAATCTTTTCAGATCTGGTGGGAGCGACAGGAGCGAAGGGAGGGCTACGAGGAGATGACGGCGGGATGGTTGTCGCCTCAATCATGTCCTCTTTCTCCTTGCCGCTGCTGATTCGAAATTAGGAAAAGGCATCAATCAGGTTGGGGATGCTGGAGACGGCGGAGGAACTGTCGTGTCGGCCGGAGATCTGGATCGAGAGAGGAAGGCGACGTCAGCGGTGGGCGGCGATTGGAGTAGGGTTGGGGAGATGAGAGGAAATCGAGAAGGAGAGGAGGTCTGAGAAGGGTTGGGGAGAGGTGAACGAGAGAGAGAGGAGGTCTGGGGAGGGTTGGGGAGAGAGAGAGTCTGGTTGCGGGAATGAGAAAGAGAGGAGAGGGTGGGTCTCCCGGTTAGTCGGTATAACCGGTTTGTAACTGGTAACCGGGTATTCGGTAACCGGTTAATCGCTTACAAATCAGTATCGGTATTCGATTGCTTCCACGTCGTGAACGGTATACCGATTACCACCCCTAAATTGAGAGGTATTCTTACGCTAAGAGGCAGCTTGTAGGTGCAGCTGCTCAACTTGATTTGGACGAGATGTTGTTACTTATAATGCACTCATAAACCTGCCATCCACAAAAACGGTAAAACAATCCACAAAAAGCGTACCAGAAACCTCCCAATCCATACCACAAATCTCCTAAAACAAACCAAAAACCCCACAAAGCATACTACAAATATTCCGAAAGCACACTAGAAACCTCATAATGCAAACCATAAATACGGTAAAGCAAACCACAAACCTCCTAATGCAGACCAAAAATATATTAAAACAAACCAGAAACCCCACAAATCAAACCATAAAATTTTCGAAAGCACACAATAAACTTATACATGCAAACCAGAAACACAATAAAGCAAACCAGAAACCTCTTAATGGAGACCACAAATCCTCTAAAACAAACCACAAACCCCACAAAGCAAACCACAACATTTGCGAAAGCACACCAGAAACCTCCTAATGCAAACCACAAGCACAGTAAATCAAACCACAAAAAAGCAAACCATAAGCGTCCTAATGCAAAGCACAAATATATTAAAATAAACCAGAAACCCCTCAATGCAAACCACAAAATTTTTGAAAGCAAACTAGAAACTTCTCAATGCAAACCACAAACACGATAAAGCAAACCAGAAACTTCTTAATGCAAACCACAAACACGATAAAGCAAACCACAAAAGACATACAAAAATATGAGAAACCAAACCATAAATCTCACAATTCAGACCATAACATCCGGTGGTCGTTGGCCGTTGACCAGTCAACGAAGACCGTTGACCGGTCAATGAAACCCGTTGACCAAACTCCGATGACCGTCAGTGACTAGATTCAGGCGCCGATAGGCATATTCCGGCTCCGATGACTAGATTCCGACGCCGGTAGGCATATTCCGGGCACGGTGAGCATATTCCGGCGACGATGGCATATTCCGATGACAAAAAGCATATTCCGATGACCGGTGACCAGATTTCGGCGGCCGGTGGCCGAATTTCGGCGACCAAAATTTTGGGCCGAAAATAAAAAAAAAATTATTATTTTTTATTATTTAAACATATTTTTCATAATGACAATTATACCCCTGCTTTGATTTTATACTAGGTCAACTCATCTAATAAAAAGTCATCACAACCCTAGCTTCTTATTGGTTGGAGACTAGTGTTATTACAATAACAACACAAGGGGTGTTGTCATAGTATCTAGTCCCAATTTTGGGGGGAGCATTGTTAGATTGGTTTGTCCGGATGGTAATTTGGTTCATTGTTTGTAGTAGGGGTGGAAATTTGGGTGGGTGTGGTTACCGCCCCACATTTTGCAGGTAACTACACCCATAAAAATAGAATTATGCTACCCACAACCCGTCCCGCAGTGGGTAGTGGTTAACCACTAACTGCTGCGGGTTGGATGTGGATATCCACAAAAAATATCGTCCCTTCGCCCTTTGGATTCGTATATGATAAATCTAGCGGTCAAGTGACGGAAAAAAACACACATTGAGTTAAAAGTAAGTAAAGAGGCCCAAGACATGGAATGAGCATGGATCCGGTATTCGAAACCTCCTAAGTAGTCAACCTCCCTCTCCTCTGTTCACTTCATTCGCTTACAGGTCACTTCACTTTCTTTAGGAAATGCATATTGATAACGAGTATGGGTTGGAGGGGATCTAATCTAAATATACATAATATCTTTATCAGCGGCATGACTCATTTGCTTTTTTATTCGAATTTTTTAGGGATAAACGGAATTCTCTCCCTAGTTGTGGAATTAGCATCTTGTTACATAAAAACAAAAATCTACATAAAAGAAAGTTAATAAAGCGTTAAATAAACTATATACCACATTTATTGACTTTGTTTTGTTATAAAATAAACACATACCACGTCGACAGACGACAATGCTTATTTAATAAAAGTATTATCTCGTACGAACATGGTGTATTGACTTGGTTTTGTTTTATGAAATAAGTACATATTCGATTTTGGAGCCTGCTTTAATTTGTAGCATTCTACTTTTCACATACTTTAATTTAAAAATTATTATTAATAAATATACTTAGGATGGTTATTGTGGGTTTTGTGGGTTAACTGTTGTGGATAGTGGTTAACCACTAACCACAAAAATTAATATTTTGCTACCCACACCCAATCCACTATCCACAAATTGTGAATATGGTTACCCACAAAGTATGCGGTTTGGTGCGGTTTGCGGATTATCCGCAATCCACAAACCAAACTTCCACCCCTAGTTTGTAGTGTATAATTAGCAGAGTATGTCTGTACTGCAAGAACTCAGTTGTAAGAGTCTCTTGTGTTTGATTGTGTACTTGATGGTAATTTTTTTTTTGGTGGAAGTACTTGATGGTAATTGATGAAATGAAATCTGCTTATTCATAAAAAAAAAACTATTAGAATTACATTTTAATAAAAGGGAACATGTAAAATGATAAATTTTTTAAAAATAGATCAGTAAAAAGTTTGAAAAAGTCATTGTGATGGCCCAAAAAGGAAGAGGGTATTGAAGTTATTTGTTGTGTATTTTATTTTAATTGGATACTAGATAGAGTAGTGGGAGTAAGAACCCGAACCCGATTGAACCCAGCCCGAACCCGCCCGATTGACACCTATAGTTTTCATTGCAAAGAACCAGTACATATTTAGTTTCACTGTCCTAAGCGTAATTTTCTTTTACAATTAACATATATGCATAATCTCTTTGATAATTTGACATTATGAGAAATATTTAAGATAATATTTAAACTTGTCCAAAATATATTTCTCTAAAAAATTTAAGCAGTAAATTAACTTATGTTACATAATTACATTACCTATGTCCTTAGTATCGTCAAATTCTTGATTTTCTTTGATAAGTTCAAAACTAATGTTAAATAATAGTTCTTTTCTGAAATTTAAAACATTTAAAAACACAAATAAATGAAAATAATTAACTCTCAAAATATAAATGAGGTAGAGGCCATCGAATCCTTACTTTCTTCAACCCAAGAGCATAAGAACTAACACCTGAACCACTACGGCTCAAGTAATTTTCATTTTTTAATTTAGTGAAACTACCAATATGTTCACAGTTAAGAGGGGCCATGACCCCCCTTGTATATGTTGGCTCCGTCCCTAGTCATTTGGTCTAAGCAAATTGAGAATAAATTAAAAAAAAACTACTAGGCCAACGGGTTGGAGCATACAGTAACCTTATAAGAAATTTTATTTTGTTTCACTCTGAGGTTCCCCTGGGTAGTACTGTGGTATATTTGATAAACCGCCAAATCAGGTCTGTTTTGCAACAACAAAATCCCTATCAGACCTTGTATTCCCATCTATTTCATTACTACTAAACTATGAAACCGAAAGAAATACACCAATACAAAAGAAAAACAAGAAATATTTTAGAAGCAACCCGGCCAAAAGAGCCGGGGTAAATAAATTAATAAATACAAAGAGAAACCTATGACCATTTCCTGTATTAGTCTAAAAGGACAAAAAACTGGGTACCCCTGCATGTATTCTAAAAGGACAAAAGAATCAAAAATTTCAAAATTAAGTATCAAATTTGGCTCACAAGAAAGACAAGAGTAGTCAAATTTTTGAACCCCATTACACCCTCGCATGGACGTCTCATGCAAAGTTTCTAAATTGAGGCTCTTATATTTATTTCCAACGGATTTTAGAGAATTATAGGGGTAATTAACTTTTTATGTTGTAAAACCTTTCAAATTTTATCTAAAAGTAAAAGATGTCCTAATGTAATAAAGTAACATCAATTTTTTTGTCTTAATTAATTATTATTACTTCATAAAAATAACGAACTAATTATGTAAATGAAATAACGAAATCTACACTAAAATGGATAAAATAAAAACTAGAAATTGAGGATTTTGACAATTTGGCCTTTGATCCTTGGAACCAAATCATTTTTTGTGGTGCTAAAATGCCAAATGTAATGTGAAAATTGACATCCTAGCATTCGTCATTTGCAGGGACGTAGTCAGGATTATGATATACTAAAAATTATGGACAATATCTTTCTTTTATGATTAACATATTTGCATAATCTCTTTAATAATTTGACATTATAAGAAATATTTAAGATAATATTTAAACTTGTCCAAAATATATTTCTCTAACAAATTTAAGCCGTAAATTAACTTACGTTACATACCTATATCCTTAGTATCGTCAAATTCTTTATTTTCTTTGATAAGTTAAAAACTAATGTAATAGTTCTTTATGAATTAAAACATTTAAAACCACAAATAAATGAAATAACTCTGAAGAGATATTTTGAAAATAACACAAACTTTGCACATAACATTTAGAAGAAAAAATTTATGAAAGTTAAAAGAATAATATAAAAGAGGTAGAGACCATTGAATTCTTACTTTCTTCAACCCAAGAGCATAGGAACTGACATCTGAACCAAAACGGCTCAAGTAATTTCAATTTAGTGAAACTACCAATATGTTCACCTGTGGGAGCCCCCCCCCCCCCCCCCCCCCCCCCGGTATATGTTGGCTTCGTCCCTGGTCATTTGGAGATAGTCTAAGCAAATTGAGAATAGATTAAAAATGAAACTACCCGGCCAACGGGCTGGAGCATACAGTAACATTATAAGAAATTTTCATTTGTTTCACTCTCAGGTTCCCTAAAGTTTCTGGGTAA